ATGATGATATGGTTCAATGTTTCCATAATAATAAAATTGTAAGTACCTGTGTAATTGTTCTATCCATATACATTTATAGCTTCCATAAACAGCAATGCCTAAACTTACTCATTGGATGTAGATTATATGACGACGATGACGCAATCTATGGCGTAATTCAGAAATATTCAACTTAGGGAAATACTTATAGAGTATTAGATGAGACGTCTCAGTGTATACAATTTCTTTATTTATTTTCTATATTATTTACAGTTTCAATCACCTTTCCTAGTTCAACGAACTTTAATTCGAACTTTTAAATTGTATGCCATTAACTTCTGTTCATTATGCCCATGTGTGAAGGTCAAAAAGTACGAGTGCCTGTTTTCTGAACAGCCTAACTTCAATCTAGACTTTTAGCGATCTAAATAAAGTCTTAAAACATAACACCAATGGTTCAAAACGTGTACAGTATGTTGATGCAATGAATTTTATTAGTCCTGTACCAAAAATTATTTGTTTGACGAATATCGACCTTGAGTTAGCGAATTATGGTGTAATTTGGTATTGGTGGTATATCATTTCGAGCATGCGCATTGCGATGCCATCCAAATGAAATGAAGGTCACCTTGACTGTTAGAATTGGAGTGTATTGGAGCGAGTGAAACTGTGGAGTACTGGAGGCACAAACGAACCGACAAGTACGTGACCGTCGACACACAAATTCTATTTTTAGTGAGTAATAAATAATAAATGAGTTAGTTCATTCTATATTTATGAAAATTCATATATGACGAATCCTTATTCTGTACATAGGTACTTTACACGTGTTAGTCAAACTTCTTGTAACTTTTGTGACGAAGTTTGTAACTGTTTGGATATTATTTTCGTGATACTTCGATTAGTATGAAGTATTAAAATTTAATAAAACATATTATTTAGTTACTCAATTTACCTACGTATTGTTATTAAACAAGAAGAGTATTCTTTTGGTGAATAAAAACGGAATGGTAACCCCAATTGCACTAACGGTATGCGTTAGTGAAGTATCAGTAAGAGACGATAAATTAAAATAAAATTAGATCAGAGACCATCGTAACAAATTCACATGTGAGTCTGCGTGGAGGCCGACCTGACAGTGTAGGTAAATTGTCAATAATGAAGACTCTACATTCCGTAACTAATATTTGCCCTCCCTTTTAATAGACTATTATTATATGTATATAGTATATATAGCCTGGATATAAAACTTAATGAAACAAGTCTCAAATCCGCCTGTGCCCTCCTCATAAGAAACTTATCATGAAGATATATCATTCTTTTCTATTATTAACCTATGATGTCTCACTGCTGGGCAAAGGGTTTCCCCGTCTCCTTTCAAAACTTCCTGTACTGCGCTATTTCAAACCAGTCTCTTTTAAATGCATGTACGTAATCACGTTACCGCTTTTTGTGTTCGGCAAAACTGATAATATTGTCATTATTTTCTTAGATATTCGTTAATTAGTTAACGATGTATAACACCATCACCGGCACAGTCATATAATAAAATCTTAGGCGTAATCTGTTAAATCCTAAGTCTTTTTCTACTACTTCGAGTAGAATACAGCTCAGTAAAATTAACTTACGAGTAATAGTTAGAATAACATCATAAGAGAGGTAACAGACACCTTTCAAGGACACGACCTTCAGTAATGAAGAGGACGAAGAGAGAGAATAGTTAGAATTTGCAGGGTACAGTGGCATCATGGCGAAACAGTATACTCTGTAATGTCCATGATACTGTTTATGTCTGTAGGTGACGGTAACCACTTTCCATCAGGTGAGCTGTCAGCTTATTTGCTATTTAGCTGTTGAGTTAAAAAAATCAGACAGAACGAGATCAATTTAATCTGATCGTAGACTTAGGGATTTGACCAAATATATAACTAAGTAATTTACGTGGTCTTAGCCATAGAGAAAATAACATGAATATAAAAAAAAAATTTCATCATCATCATCACTTTTTCGTCATCATCATCATACCAGCCGTTAATTGTCCACTGTTGCCTGTGGGAGTTTTGCCAGTAGTTACCGCGCTTGGAGGACGGGTTTTTTTTTATGGGTGAAAATGGTATGGTAACCCCGCCTGCATTAACGGGATACGTTGGCGGAGTACCAGTGAAGGGTGATAGATGAGAATGAAAACAGGCCAGTTAGCCTGTCATGATGAATTCACCAGGAATTAACTATGATAATTTCCAAGGAGAACCGCGAGGAGGTTGACCTGGTTGGGTATATTGCTAGCAATGGGATTCTCAGTCTCCATTACTAACAATCCTTTTCCCCCCTGAAGGACGGGTTGTCAACCGCTGTTAGGTTTTGGTAACGTTTTAAGAGGAACACTGCTGCCCATCCCTCTTTTAAAGGTCTTTAAATTCTCTTACTCGCCTCTTACGAGAGACGCCACAGGAAAAGAATAGGTTAGCCCATTCTATACCGGCATCACATACTAAATGTGAGTCTCAAACCGCCCATACTAATTTAGCCGCTGGAAGACTGAAAATATTTCATCGTGTTTTGACTCGTGTTTTTTAATCTACTATGTAATTTTACTAGCCATACTCCCTTAAAAAAAATACCTAATAAAAACATCGATTTCACCTATTACGATATCACTCAAATTTGAGTTTTCAATTGACTTCAAAAAGAAAGAGATTTACCATTCGGTTGTATTTTGTTATGTTTGTTCATGTACCTCATAACTCCGATAGTTTCAAATCGATTTGTAAAATACCTTTTTTTAGTCCAAATAAATATACTTACAGATTCGTCCCATAAAAAGTTATCACAATCGTTTCAATAGTTTAGATGTTAAATCAAAATTTATTTATTTTATTTATTTATTCATTAGTACAAATATGTGTACATGGCGGACTTAATGCTAAAAGCATTCTCTCCCAGTCAACCATAGGGAAGTGTCAGAATACTCGAATGCGGTACTACTAATTATTAATATACATACGTACTAAAATTACATATATAAACGAATAAATATATATAAATAACAAATATACTTACACATATATGACATATACTATATTATACACGAAATTGAGAATAATATAAAGAATAGTATATAGAATAATATATAATAATAATATATAGAATAACTGGTTTTTATCAAATGGAGTCGGGTTTTTTTAAGGACACAATCTTTAATTATCTATCACAATTATATATAACAATACATCTATGTTAGCTGAACTTAAACCAGAATTTTTTTAACATCTCTGTAAATTATTGATGCCCATTAATTCTTCTCTTTCCGCGTCTAGGGAAGGTAGATAAAGTTTTGTTTGAGAAATCAGTTCAGGGTACAATAGGACTGATATACCTGAAGAAGGTAAAAGCCCTTAAAATAATATTAAAAAAAAACAATACATATTGCTGGCTAATTGAATTATGACATTAGGAGATCCGGAAACATGACATGTGTACCAGTTAATCTTTTTTTAAACCAACCTTCGATGACACGTGCGTGACCCCAGTCAGCTCCGCAGTTCTCACCCTTCCTATATTTCGAGTTCCAAACCAGTCATTCAACCCATTTGATTCGACAGTTTCACTTCGTTCGTTCAGTAACAGCTTAGCTGTCGCAGAGAACTTTTTTTTTAAAAAAGTGTTAACGTTATTTAGTTCGTAATTTTGTTTTATAATAATTTTAAATATGCCCGGAAATCATTTTAACGGTGTTAACGGTGGCAGATGTGAGTCTTTATTTAATTTTAATAAAATTTTTGTTGGATGAGATTTTTATTTTAAACGTTTGGTTTGTTTTGATTTTAATTTTATATCTTAGTTCTATGAATTAGTGTATTTATTGAATAAATAAAAAATAGCATATTATAATTAGAAAGTATTATTATTTTGTATTGTATTTTACTACTCTTTCTATATAATTAGTAAATAATATTATAATAATTCTGTACGCTTACATATAGGCAAATCGAAAAACTAATGCAAAATATGGATGAGAAGAATAAAAAGAAAAATTTTTTTCATATAACAAATGTAATTTTTCAACTAAAAGTAAGAGGTTATTAAGTCACTTGTATTTTTTGTATTCTAACTGATTTTAATTATTCTTTTTGTAATCGATGGAATTAATTTCCGTGTAAATTTTATATTAATTTTATTACAATTGAAAGTCGCTAGTGGTTTTTGAAGCAATATCCTACTTTGTAAAACGTATTTGCACTATGAATTATATTAAGTATTATACTTTTATTTCTTATTAAAAGAGCAGTGAAAAAAGAAAGAAAGAAATACATGCCTAGGTAACTAAATTTTATGTTTATTACATTTTTTTTTTAATTATCTTTAATAAATATTTTACTAATATAATAAAGTTGTAACTAAAATAAAAAATAATATGTGGGGTTTTAATAAGACTAATAGATCCAAAACTGTAATTTTTAGAATTTTTTGTCTGTCTGTACGTTTGTTCAGCTTAACACAAAAACTATTACATCAATTTGTATGCGATTTTCACAATAGTATTTCTGCATGTTTACGTTAAAAAATAGTGTATATTTTATCTTGATACACCATCTGTAAGTGGTTTATTTCATAGATTTTTCTACTTCTGAAAATCACGCATATGAAGTAACGGGCAAAACACTAGTATTAATTTAAAATATATATGGATCATATTCAACTATATACATGCTTAAATGGTAATTTCATAATATTTTTCCCCGTAATAATTTCAAATGATCCTTTTCAAGGATATGCTAAAACAAAGGTCTGAAGTTAGCTATTAAGGAGAACTATTATACGTGAAGGAATGATTCACTTTGTATTCAAATATTTAACACATTGTTGCTGTTGTTAACCACATATCTATCGGTATTGTAAACAATATGGTTTCCCTTTGAATAAACATGGTTTTTTTAATGTATTTTAGGAGCTAATCATAAAATCATATCAAATCGAAGGTCATTATTGTATTATTTTGTATGCGCAGCACTTCGCACTAGTCATTCAGTTATACATAAGCGTTGAATTGCTCGGACGTTTATCGCAAACTATCGGAATCACTCAAAAGGAAGACAAATTATTTCTAATTGTATCCAACTAGAAATATTGAGTAATTACGTGTAACATAATTTTACAAGATTCTTAAGTAAATTTTAACAAAATTTTCTATTTGAAGATTGTAAAATAAACAGGTAAAATCAGATCGTAAATTATTTACTGCCTTAACACTATACTACTAAATACATTACGAACTTGATCAACTATACTTAAACTAGAACCGGTCAACGCAAATAACTGTCAAATAAATAGACTTCACTTGTATGGTGAATTCATATTTTTTTTAAATAAAACTAATGTTTAAACCTTTTTGCATTGCATGAGAGACCTGTTTTAGTCTATGAAGTGCTGTTTTGTGAAATCATATTTGTTTAAGTTTTGTTTCAGTAAATACGTGATGTTACATATACTCGTAGTTAATATTTTTTATCTAAATTACCAAGTTTAAAAAAGAAACTTGCCATTATATATATAATAAAAAGGAATGTAATATTAAAATTAAAATAGATATAACCCTACTTTAAAATAACTTAGATACATAACCTACTTCAGTTCAACCAAATTCGTAATCATCAGAGAAATTTAATTATTAAAAAGTATCAGCAAAAAAATTAATTTCAACCTACTAAAAAAAATATTTACGTACTATCACAGCTAGCGATCAAACCAAATGGTAAAACCCAAAAAAATAGTACCTCTTCTTTCTAGAAACCAGTTTAAAAATTTGTGTCATAAATTCAAATTCAAATCATCTTTATTTAAATAAAATTCTTTACAAGCACTTTTAAATTGTAGTTTTTTTTTAATCTGCTGCAGGATCCGGAAACTTGTTATCTGTTGAGAAAAGTCCGCAAGAAACTCAACAGTTACTCTTTTTAATCTCTGTTAACATTATATGTATTTATTTACTAAATTTAAATTTTTAAATGTACTATATTTAAAATTACATGGTCATTAAAAAGCCCGTGTATGTTCGACTAACACTATTAACGCTTGTTATAGGTAAAATGGCAACCGTAGACCAGTTATTCCAGCCAATCCAGGGGAGGACTGACGACACGGGCAGCAAGGTGACGGTGGTGGGCGTAGGCCAAGTTGGCATGGCCGCTGTCTTCTCTATGCTTACTCAGGTTTGTAAATCCTTACTAGTACTGTAAAATACAAGATAAGAGAAAATAGCTATATCTAATCTCTATAAAACACTGACCTATACAAGGTGACCAAACTAGTAAGCGTATAACAAGTCGATATTAATCTTGATCATTTCTGTCGTTAACAGTCCACTGCTGAACGTAGGTCTCTGCGGGGGAAAGGGATTGTTAGTAGTGGAGACTGAGAATCCCATTGCTAGCAATATACCCAACTAGGTCGACCTCCTCGCCGTTCTCCCTGGAAACTATCATAGTTAATTCCTGATGAATTCATCATGATGGGCTAACTGGCCTGTTTTCATTCTCATCCATCACCCTTCACTGGTGCTCCGCCAGCGTATCCTGTTAGCGCAGGCGGGGTTACCATACCATTTTCACCCATAAAAAAAACGTAAGTCTCTGAAAGAAAAAAAAAAACATTTCTACTTACTGTTGTACTTACTCAGATTAGAAGGTTGTCGCATAAAAATAGCGACAGAAATATAGATTATAAAAAAAAAGTAGGCCTTTACCTATTGGGGGCTTTTGCCAATAGTTCCTTCTTAACAGGCTGGTTGGCAACTAGACTTTGGTGATGTTTATAGAGGATGCCCATCCCATGAACATTAAAATCCCTTAGTCGCCTCTTTTAACACCCACAGGGAAAAAAGATGTGACCCATTTTCTGCCGGGACCAAATGGTGACATTAACACTTACATGTTTTATATAAGCAATTTTCTTAAAGAAATATAAGTAATTTTAATTTATCAAAATCACTTTAGTGTCTTTGTGAACATTTTTATGTATATAATATCATGGATACCGGTTTCTGACGAAATAAAGGACTTTACGTATAATAACCCCTATACTAGTACCTATATCATTTAAAATATTTTGTATTATGAAAAATCCAATAACAAACATATCTGGGCATAAACAAAATATCTTGAATAACTTGAAAATAGAAACAATCTAGGCATAAAGACTACATGTTACCAATACGTCCATTAAAACGTATACGAGTAATTGTCATATATATATATATATATATATATATATATATATATATATATATATATATATATATATATATATATATATATATATATATATATATATATATTTATAGAATACTGTATATAATTTAGTATGTCTAATCTGATTAACCTACAATATAGCGATAACAAGTAAGCGAACTTCAATGTTAATATATTGTTTGATTAGTATTTATACAATATCATCACTGTTTGTTATTCTTATCAAATATATATTATTGTACTCACTCAATGCAAGGTCCTTTGCCATATAACATAGACACAGACTGGCACCCCTCTACACATTGCATACTCCTGTTAATATTATAAATGCAAAAATTTGGATGTATAAATGTTTGTTACTCTATCAAAGGCTGACTATATACATGTACTTGTTAAATTATTTACTGTAAAAATTTAGAAATATTTCTAAATTTTATTGCAATAGTTACGATAAGATATATTATTATTATTTAGAATTAAATGCACCGGATATGGATGCGAGCTATCAACGGAAATTGTCGTATTCCTATCTCTTAGATAGATACTTTTTTTAAACTGCATAGTTGAGCCTCACTTGCCGAATCTTATGGTAAATGGAAGAAAATGGAATTGTCATCCTGCCAATAATTTTGACATACATTGGCAGAGTATCAGTGAGGAATAATAAGTGAGGAAAAATTTAGATACATTTCCTAATTGTGATGGAATTGATCACTAGGTATTGAACACGATGGTTTCCAAGAGTAACCACGTGGAGGTCAACCTGATAGAGTTTACTGCGACAAGAATACCATTACTAACAATCCCTTCCTATAGAATCTTATGGTAATCTCTAGTGTTTGTGTTGATAATTAGGTACAATTTCATTATGCATAACTGTTCTAGGCACTATTTAGGTTTGCTGGACTGGAAAAGATCTCTATGGCTTGCTAACAAAATTAAATACGTTTTGTGAAGATGGTAGATTTATTTATTCAACAATTTTTTTATGGGTGAAAATAGAATAGTAGCCTTGTTTTTGCTATAGTATATTTATTTATACTTTGGCACACATTATAATATGTCTACAGGACGGACTCAATGCCTGATGACAGTCTCTACCAGTCAACCGTTACGCTAAACAGAGAGATTTTTTTTTGTATTTATTGTGACTTTGGCGAAAGCCATCAGCCAAAAAGTAACAATTACAAGGTAACAACCTACAGAGAGAGTAAATGGCGGTGCATAGATTAAAAAAAAAATTGTACATTGAATAAATATTTTCAAAGATAACAATTTATGATAAATAAACATAATAAAATACTTACAAAAAATATACACACATAAATCATATAAAATACAAATATAAATAACTATACATATATAAATGTATATTCTGATGGGACGTCGATAAAAGATAATAAGTAAAGTTGCAAGTAGGTCAGTTAGCCTATCGTAACAAATTTAAGAATCTACCACGGTGGTTTCTAAAGAAAACCGCTTGGAAGGCGATCCGACAGAGTACAATGCTAAGAATGGGGCCACTAAACCATTCTACTTGTTTTTTGTTGTTGTTTTTTTTTTACAAGTATCATAAAGTTGTTACTTCTACGCCCAGTCTGATATACATGCTTACAATATAAGAAACCTCATAGGGAAAGTAGAAATAGTAAACCAAATTTATAAAGGACAATGATTAAGAAAAATAATTTAAAAAAATGTATATATATTTTTTTATATTTCAATTTAACAAGCAGTTTCAGTCGAAAAGAATTGACAAAAAAGTTCACTGTTATTCTTTTTAAATCAATTTGAAAATCAAGTAACTCCAAGTTTGAAGAAATCGTTTAGTTACTAAACTTTAGTAAATAGATAGACTTTACTCAGCGAGACATAAATAATACCATTCAATATTTACGCAATATTGAACGATTAAAAAACTTTGAGAAACGACGACTACAATTAAACAATACCTACAGATGGTATTTTTGTTAATTATTTTTTTTGTACATAGGGTGTTACCAACAATATCGCTTTGGTTGATGTGATGGCAGACAAACTGAAAGGTGAAATGATGGACTTACAGCACGGCTCTGCCTTTATGAGGAATGCCAAGATTCAAGCAAGCACAGGTAAAAATTATTTGTTTTTGGTGTTAATTCTAATTATTACAAAATTATTTAACATGAAAATATTTATATGTATACAAAATAAAGTTACTACAATAACGTACGTTCAGACGGTTAAAATACAATGATAGTTTACCGTCATATTTTAATACTGCATCGGACACAAATTTTTGGTGGATATCATTCATAAAAAAAATGTAAATATCTTAATTTGGGTGAAAGATCGTCCGTAATTAAAAAATTAGTTCTTACTGCTAGCATATATAGCATGCATATACTATGCCATATTAACCTATACGTGGTCCCCTCTGAAAACTATGGTTAGTTCTTGATAAATTTATTACGATGGGCGAAGTAACTTGACTTCATTCTGATTTATTATCAGCATAGGCCTATATACAAAGCAAAAAAAAATTTTATTTTTGGTGAAAATGATGACCTTTGCTTCGGTTTTATGTACGTAATATGTATTTACTTTTTACAAGAAGTATTTTATCCCACAGATTATTCAATTACAACGGGATCGAAAATTTGCGTAGTGACGGCTGGTGTCCGTCAGAGAGAAGGAGAGTCGAGACTTAACTTGGTTCAACGGAACACAGATGTACTCAAAATTATTATACCACAGGTAAATTTTATATTATATATTTATTTTAAATATATTTTAAATTCTATATTCGCTGTGTGTGCCCCGACATAGAATGAGCCACCCCTTCCTTTGCCGTGGGTATCGTAAGAGCCAACTAAGAGAGGGCAAAGGATGGGTAGTAGCATCTCTATTAAAACGTCTCTAAAAGCCTAACTACGGTTGCCAAATCACCTGCCAAGAGTGGCAACTACTAGCAAACTCCTCTTGTGTCCAACAGTGGGCAGTTAACAGCTGAAATAATAATAATAAAAAAATTATATAAATTTTCTTTTCAACCAACCTCAAAAAGTAGAAGCTTCTCAATTCGGTTATATTTTTTTATGTTTGTTACCTCATAACTCCGTCAGTTGTAAACTGTATCGGAAAATCCTTTTCTTGTCTGAAAGGATAAGTATAAGTACTTACAGACTGGTCGCATAGAAATATTATCAAAATCGATTCAGCGATTTGGTTTTTAAATCAAAATATTTTTCAAGGTTTTGTCACAATTGAAGTTGGTTTCTTTGTGAGACATAACCTTTGTTTGAGAATACAATAGCATAAAATCAATAGAAACATTTATAATTCAAATAGACTATGAAACCGTCGTTTTCTATAATTCTACTGCTGTGTTAATATAATTAGGAAGGTATTTAATAATATGTTTCATCATTTTTATAAATCTATTACGACAATGTTACTTACAGTGACTAAAAGCCTTTGCAAACGATCAGACTTTTTTATACAACTTAGAATGGCAAACAAGCTGACGGCCCACCTAATGGAAAGTAGTAACCGTCGCCTATAGACATGAGCAGTACCATGGACATAACAGAATATACTGTTTCGCCCATGATACCCCCCATGCATTGCCATTCCTGAGAACTCAGGTGTTATTCCTCTGTCCCCAGTAAATTCACGCCATATCCCACCCTTCAAACCGAAACACAGCCATGCAAACACAACTGCTTCACGGTTGAAACACGAATAGGACAGAGGTACCCAGACAATCGATTTTTGTACGATATCTCTTTCTTTGTACAAAGATTCTTTTGCTTGCAGACAAAATTTCCCTATGTGTAAACTATAAAGTTGCACGACACACGTGCATTACAAGATTCAATTATAAATATAATTTATAGATGGTTTAATATGACTGGACTAAAACGTACACCGAAGATTGTCTTTAGACATTTATAACATTAAGGTTTATGCCTTTATTCCTTGTAATTTCATTACCATATCCCACCTTCTATACCGAAGCACAACCATGCAAATACAAATACACCACGGCAGAAACACGAATAGGACAGAGGTGCCCAAATAAACGAGATCTGTACAAAGTCACATAAAAAAAATTATATATTATTTTTGCATTTATTAACTCATTCATCTCATCATATTTAAGAAAGTTTCATTTTCACAATATGTTCACGGACGAAGTCGCAGGATACAGTTCTTTTATAATGTATCAATATTTTTGACAGTTGGTAAAGTACAGTCCGGACGCGATTTTCATAATCGCCAGCAACCCGGTCGACATCCTCACGTATGTGACGTGGAAGATCAGCGGTCTACCAAAACACCGCGTCATCGGCTCCGGGACCAATCTGGACTCGGCGAGGTTCAGATACCTACTGTCCGAGAAGCTAGGTGTAGCCACCACATCCTGCCATGGGTACATCATTGGAGAACACGGTGATAGTAGCGGTGAGAAATTATTTATTTATTAAGTTGTAAATTCCAAGTAATTCTTCGGTGATGAAAAAAGCTGGTGGAAAACCAGTGAACGATGATAATCAAGTCTGTTAGCTTATCGAGGCGAATTCGCTAAAGGTATTAACTATCATGGTTTCCAGAGGAGACCGCGTGGAGTTAGTAACGAAGGGAACAAATTTTTAAATATTGACTTAAAATATTGATTTAAATATTCGATAGTTCATAGGGAGTATACTTTTTTTTTAATTATAAGCAATTCTGAAAATAAAACACCAATTCTCAGAAATTTTTGAACATCTCTGTAAATTATTGATGCCCATTAATCCTTCTCTTTCCGCGTCTAGGGAAGGTAGATAAAGTTTTGTTGGAGAAATCAGTTCAGGGTACAATAGGACTGATATACCTGAAGAAGGTAAAAGCCCTTAAAATATTAAAAAAAAAAAATGAGCGTTCCAATAATTTTTTTATCATCTACATTCCAAACATTTATAAATGGCCAGTTCAAAATCAAATATTAATATGCAGATGATTTATACAAAATTTCTCTCTGGAAATATCTACAATTAGGAGGAAAAAAATTGGAATTTAGGTAGGATGCCGTCAGTTTGTCGAATTTGGTAGTCAAATGAAACGGTGTGTGACGATAATCCGTTTACAGAAGCAGAACAATTAAAGAGATCAACTTTTATTTATACCATGTTATTTATCGACAGTGCCCGTCTGGTCTGGCGTCAATATTGCGGGCGTACGTCTCAGCGACCTGAACCCAAAGATTGGCACGGAATCCGATACTGAGAATTGGAAAGAGACCCACGACATGGTGGTGAAGAGCGCTTATGAAGTCATCAAATTGAAAGGCTACACTTCCTGGGCTATTGGTCTCTCGTTAGCACAATTAGCTCGCGCTGTGCTTTCTAATGCAAACAGCGTTCATGCAGTATCTACTTATATCAAGGTATGTATACAAAGTACGAGCCTGTCGCTAAAGAGGGCGCTGTACCGTGTATAAATACTAATACTAATCCTTGCTGTATAATTAACTTGAGGTTTAAAAAAAAACTTTGTCATATAGAAATTTCTTAGCGTTTTCGATAGATAGAATTAATGCCTCTATCTTCCATCGGGTGAACCGACAACCTGTTTGCCAATCTAAGTATCAGGGAAGAAAGGGATTGTTCGCAATGAACTTTGACAGCCCCATTGCTAGCAATATGTCTTATTAGGTCGACCTCCATGTGGTTTCCCCTGAAAACCATCGTGAACAATTCTTGTGGAATTCGTCACGATGGGCTAACTGACCTACTTCATCCTCACCCATCATTCTTCACTGGTGCCCCGCCGGTGTATACCGATAGCGTGGGTTACCATTCCATTATTACCCATTAAAAAAAATCTAAGTATCATAAAAAAAATATTTCTGGTTTCATTCACTGATCGAGATAAAAACTATATATAACTGTTTGTATTCTTCTCCATCTATTATAGTACGCGTATATCAAATTTCATAGTGATCGGTTCAGCTGTTACGGCGCTACGGGATAATAAACAAACTTACTTTCATATTTATAATATTATTTACATTTATTTATTTACAGTAGACTATGGTACTTAATCTGACTCTGTATTAATTCATTCACAGGGAGAACATGGCATTGAACAGGAGGTATTCCTGTCCCTCCCGTGCGTATTAGGCCAAAACGGGGTCTATGACGTCATCCGGCAGCCTCTCACAGAAACAGAGTCCGCGCAGCTCCGTAAATCCGCTGAACTCATGGACAAAGTGCAGGAAGGTATCCAGTTTTAAATTAGGCAATTTATAGATTGTAAAATATAAATTATAAAAAAAAGTTAACGCCCAGATAATTCCGGGTAGTTTCAGCAGTAATGCTGAAAGAAAGCGAAGCGAAATATAATATTAGTATGCCAGATAAATATATAGGAATATAAGATTATATTTATATACAACATATATATATATATATATATATATATATATATATATATATATATATATATATATATATATATATATATATATATATATATATATATATATATATATATATATATATATATATATATATATACAACGAAAATTAACTAATCGTACTTATATATATATATATTTAAATTAATTAATTTGTAAACCTATTTTTATCTTTACCTATTATTTTCATAAGAATAAAATGTTTGTTTACAAATTGTGTCAAATATAGAAAAACAGAATAAAAGAACGGTTTAATAATATTAAAAGTAGATCAAGTGCATGGAACTATCATAAATTTATTTAGATGCAAATATGCAATGAATATTATGCCTAGTAACGCAATTTTGCAAGATTGCAAACACTGCCATTTTAAAAAGGCAGTAACTTAAAACAGTTTATATTATTTTTATGATTCAAACATCTTACACAGTTATGTATACTACTTATATTTTAGTATATTAATTAAAACTATTATATAAATTTTAAATGGATGATAATGGAGTTGTAACCCCGCTTTCGCTAACGGTATACGCTGGCGGGGCACCAGTGAGGGATGATAGGTTAAAAATGAAAAAGCAGGTCAATTAACCCATCGTGATGAATACACCTGGAATTTAGCACGATAATTTCCAGGGGGAATCGCGTGGAGGTCGACCTGACAGGGTATATTGTTAGCAATAGGACTGGTAATCCGCATTTCTAACAATCCCCTCCCCCCCAATATTATGTTTGATCTCGCCCATTTTAATAATACCCTTTATTGGTATTTAATAGTGATGTACCGGATCCTCAAAATTATATATCCATAGAAAGGTACGGATACATATGCGGATCTCTGCTCAGTTGGATGACAATTAAATAGTAATCCCCTTTACCCTATCGGTGTACACTAGCAAGGCGCTAATGAGGGATGGTAAGCGAGAATGAAAGCAAGTCTGGCCCGCTGTGATGAGTTCATAAAGAATTAGCCATGATAGTTTTAAAGAGGAACAGCGTGAAGATTAACCTATTGCTAGCAATAGGCCAGATAGCTCCTATTACTACATGTTACGTTTATTTATAATATAGGATAATACGGAACAGCATGGGTTTTTTATGGGTGAAAATGGTATGGTAGCCCCGCCTGCGCTAACGGGATACGCTGGCGGAGCACCAGTGAAGGGTGATTAATGAGAATGAAAACAGGCCAATTAGCCCATCATAAAGAATTCATCAGGAATTAATTATGATAGTTTCCGGGGGGAACCGCGAGGAGGTCGACCTGGTTATATTGCTAGCAATGGGATTTTCAGTCTCCATTACTAACAATCCTTTTCCCCCCGAACAGCATGGGTTAGGTTTGTATGTTTCGAGTACCTAGTATTACATTAAATAATAAAACAATAACTTTTAATTCGTTCGAGATCCACCAAAATATAACGGATAATGATGTTTAATTTTTCTTGGTTATCTGTAAAATTGGGGACGGATATTCAGTACATCACTAGTATTAAATTTAATTTTTTTTTTCTTATCCAGCTGTAACTTTATGTATTTGTATATGTATTTACATTGTTTTATTAATCAATGTGTATTAATCATGTCAGTCAAGCTACTTAATGGAATAACAATTCTATTTCGGTCTGTAACAATTGTATGTACGCCTTTAAATGAGTTGTTATTATATGTACTATTGTTTAAATATTTGAATTACAATTAAATAATCTTTATTTTGTATGTATGTGCATGCATTAAAAATTCTTTTAGCGTATAAGGCAACCTTATAAAGGTGAATAAAATATAGTCAAACGTGTTTTAAACCTATTCTAGCTTTCTATTCTCTCGATTATCCGTGGAATTGAAAACGGATATACAGTACATCATTAGTATTATATATATTCTCAAGAGATACATCTTATCTAGCTGCATTTTTAATTAGTATTGAAAGACGGGCATTTTTCAGACAGAAAAGCCTGTAATGCCGCGGCCTTTCCATGATCTTTTGTATCTAGCTGTAACTTCAGGCATTTGTATTTGTGTTTACATTGTTTTATTAATCAATATGTATTAATTATGTCAGATAAGCTACTTAATAGAATAACATTCTATTAAATAGCTTTTCGGTCCATAATAATTGTATGTACGCCTTGAAATGATTTGTCTTTATATGTACTGCTCTTAAAATATTTTAAATATAATCAAATAACCTTCATTTTGCATACATATGCACTTAAAGCTCCTTTAGTATATAAGGTAAACTTATTAAGGTAAATAAAATATAATGTTTCATTTCTTTCAGAGACGAATATCCGTCTCCGATTTCGCGAATTAAATATATTCGGAACATCACTCGTATTAAATATATTCTTAAGAGATACATCTTATCTAGTTGTAACCGTGGATATTTGTAGATGTATTTACATTGTTTTATTAATCAATGTGTATTAATCATGTCGGTCAAACTACTTAATGGAATAACAATTCTATTTCGGTCTGTAACAATTGTATGTACGCCTTTAAATGAGTTGTTATTATAGACACTATTGTTTAAATATTTTAATTATAATTAAATTACATTCATTTTGGAAATATATCGATTTAAAACTTTTTTAGTATATAAGGTAAATTATAAAGGTAAATAAAATATAATCGAATTTATATTAAACCTCTAAAAAACAACGTATACAAATAATAATTTTTTTTCGGAGACGAATATTTCACGCATATTATATTCGGCAGATCACTAATATTAAATGTATTCTCAAGAGGATACATCTTATTTAGAAGTAACTTTATGTATTTGTATATGTATTTACATTGTTTTATTAATCAATGTAATTAATCATGTCAGTCAAGCTACTTAATGGAATAACAATTCTATTCCGGTCTGTAACAATTTTTTGTACGCCTTTAATTGAGTTGTTATTATAGATACTTTCTTTAAATATTTTTTAGATATAATTATTATTATGATAATAATTTTGCAAATATATGCATTTAAAACTCCTTTAGTATATAAGGTACCTAAACTAATAAAATTAAATAAAATATAGTCGAATTTGTGTTAAACCTCCAAAAAATAACGAATGCTGATGTTTCTTTTCTCTCGGAGACGGATATACATCTCTGATTCTGCGAATTAAATATATTCAGACTAGTATTCAATATATTCCCAGGAAATACTAAATATCTACCTATAACTTTATGTATTTGTATATGTATTTACAATGTTATATTAATCAATGTGTATTATTCATGTCAGTCAAACTACTCAATGGAATAACAATTATTTTTCGGTCTGTAACAATTGTATGTACGCCTTTAATGGAGTTGTTATTATAGATACTATTACATTAATACAAGCAGGGTACATGTATTTACTGTTCATAATAAGTAATACTTTTTTATATATTACAACTGTACCTAAAATTTACCAAAAGATTGGTAATATCAAAATTTTGTGAGGACAAAAAATCTTTATTACTATGTCCAATGTATATTTAAGCCTAATTTAGAGATATGTGTCAAGAAATATGTAGTTTAATGTTTATATTTTTTCAATAAATTATCATTATGTCAAAGGGCTATAGTTTAATCTTATTTAATAGATACCAGTTATCTTCCTTATTCATATAGTCACGTGTCAGTCTATGTGACTAATACAAAAAATATTAACAAATTATAGTTAATTTGCTCCTAACTTGTATGTATGTACCAACATAATAAAGCTAGTACGTAGTATTAGTATCACAAAATAGTGACATTTTGAGTGCCATTTCATTCATATATATGTATATTATATATTGTATTGTACTTGAAAAAAAGATACAGCGATTATTTTAACAACTTATTAACAGGGATAGGCTGACTTTGTAAGAGATCTCTTCCAGCCCACACAGAGCAGTGAGAGAAAAATGATTTTATTATTAAAAAATTATTTGTATATTATATTATTATATTCATTATATATAAAAATTAATTTATACTAATATTTCAGTTCCATAATTTCGCAAAATTACTATTGTCCACTAAATAGTAATCATAGGTAAAATTATAACAATTCTGACTGAATCTATTATAAAATTAGTTTATCACAGCAAATTCATTGCTATGGCATCAAATTGATATATTAATTTAGGAGATATGGTTTAGAGAAATGGCATCAAAGACTCGACCTCATAATTTTCAAAATTATTAATAATTTTTTTTAATATGTCCATGGAGACATAATCAAAAATTCTAATAATACATAAATATGGAATAATTTAAAAAACATATTCAATATGGGTGCGACATTTAATATAGAGAAAGACATAAAAAAATTGTGTCAAAGATAATTTAGTCAAATTGAGAATGAACACCGAATTGACAATTAATAGTGATTGCTGATCATAGTTGTATGAGATAGAGGTCGAATGGTGATAATGACATTGTAATATCCCAGTTTAAATTCAATATTATGTATAGACACTTCGTTAACACGTTGAGCGCCACGCGTATTTCTACAGCTGGTGTTTCCTATCGTAGTAGAAGGTAGTTTACGTTTGGAACGTGATACCTATAGGCATTCATTGAACACGTTACGCACCAAGTCTGTTTTGTTTTCTTTATCGTTTGACCTGCTAGACAAGATTTTATCGAAATGTATCCGTAACCGATGTTCCCTTTGTAAATTTTAATTTAATTTAAGTAAATTTTAAATAATTTTTCTGTAATTCCGTAAAATAGTGTAAAATTTTATAGTTCTCATGTTACACGCTGTCACCGATGGCTGACGCGGCCTAAACGGAGTCTAGTGTCAGCCACCGATGGCTGACATGGCGCTCAACTTGTTAACTGGCTATCACCAGAGGGAAATTTTGTACAGTCGATTGCGTGGGTAACTCTGTCCCATTCGTGTTTCAACCATAAAGCAGTTGTGTTTGCATGGCTGTGTTTCGATTTGAAGGGTGGGATATGGCGTGAATTTACTGAGTACAGAGGAATATCACCTGAGTCCTCAGGAATGGCAACGCATGGAGGGTATCATGGGTGAAACAGTATACTCTGTTATGTCCATGGTACTGCTCATGTGTATAGGCGACGATTGCCACTTTCCATCAGGTGGGCCATCAGCTTGTTTGCCATTCTAAGTTGTATAAAAAAAAATTAACATGATAGATAATTTTACTATTGTGGACAATTTAAATACAACTAGCCATCATATGAGCTATTAATTAACCACTGCTGAATATAGGCCTCTCTATTGGGGGTTTTGCCAGTACTAGTCATTCTTGACAGGCGCGCTGGCAACCGTAGTTAGACTTTGGTGACGTTTGAAGAGGGACACTGTTGCCAATCCCTCGACCATTTAAGCTCCCTAGTTGCCTCTTATGGTATCTAGAATCAGCAATACGTACTAAACATTTTAAGGTAGAGGAGGTGAAGAAATAAAAGTTTATTGTATTTTTTCACAAAATTATATAATGAAATTTATATAGTTACATCAGTACTAGTACAACTTGATATCTAGAAGTGACACTGACGGACAGCTCGCTGAGTAAACACTACGGGGTAAAACGGTAAGCGTACTATGAAATTAATTAACATTTAACTCTACAGTGCCGAGATGAACATGTTATTACAAATACTTAACGGAAAATACACGATATCCTTTCCACATTATTATTATATTTGAAACGTCCACAATATAAAATTATAGCATAAATAATACATTCATACAATTCAGATTATTTAAAATGACAACGTTATATTTCGATGTGTTAATTTTTTTTATAAATAATTCAATAAAAAATACTTTTGTGCACATTTCTATTGTCTTCCAATATATAAATATAATTTTATATAAGAAGCTCACTTTGAAACGTTTGTTACAAAGTTGTCTGCGTAATTACATGTGAGCATGTGTGATGTGACATATACATAATAATATAATAATTAATTAATAATTAAAAAAAAATCAGATATAAAACAAAGTAGGATATTCCATCATTTTAAGAATACTCATTTAATACCATAAAAAAAAACATAAATAAGTATATAAATATAATCATGACAATGTGAAATACACAGCTAATTTATTTAATAATTGTGATGTAACGAATACTGTATTGCTAAAATTGCTTAGGTACATTAGATAAAATTGTGTACATTGGTTCCTTCCACGTTTGGCGATTTCCCGAAATTTCTTTGAGCACAAATGTTTCGCCAAGGTGAAGCCGTCAAAAATAGCTAGTGCTGCATTTAATAATCGAAACCTCGCTGTACTATTTAAAGCTACTAAATTATTAATCATTTGAATATAAAATATCAAATATATATTATATTATATTGTATAATATATAAAATGAACGAATATATAAAAATATATATATATTGTTTCGTTATATACACAACATTTCCACTTGTAGTACAATTCAAAGAATCCAGTTTGCAATTGAATATAGTTCATGTAATGAGATCAATAAAGTAGAATATTCTACAGCACAAACTGTGGAATGGTCATCTCGACTAAATAAAATTCGGTGATAATGCCATAAAACAATAAGCGTTTGTGTGTAAATAATATTGGTACATGTCTGATATAAAATATTGTGATAATTCAGTAGCCACAGCGGTCAACGTTTTAAAAATACAATACCAGTTTAAAACACATTATAAAAATAATATTATAAATATATATATATGCAATAAAATACAATGACTAATTGATAATATAAATACAAGGACATAACAAATATTACAAGTGCTAAAATTGATTAAAATATACTTGTAGGTATATAAATATAAATATTTGTGGTAGAGGATTTCATACTCCAAACGATATAATTAGAAATCGCTTAATATTAAAATCTTAGTAACTCTTTTTGCATAATATAATAATAGTTATATCAGTTACTTATTTCGTCTACATTGGAGCACGATGCATTTAAAAATAATGATTACTGAATAGGATTAAAAGGCATTGGAATGACTGTTGTGTGCGTTCTATTACAGTTCCGCCTTATGGCTAATTTACACTTACTAAGTGATTAGTGAAATTTTACTTCCGAAGTGCGAGTGCGAAGTAAACTAATAGAAGCATGGTCCACATTTGCTGTTAAACAGCTTCCCTCGCGCACCCGCTGCATTACCCGATCTACGACGGACGGAATAGTGAAGTAGATTGAAAAGGACGAAACGAATCTATCGTAGATACGTTTACGTTAGTGCTCGCATGAGAAAGAATGAGATACTAGACGTGACTATTTCTATCTTATGAACGTGGTAGCGGTAACGTGTCTGTCGATAAATTCCTTTGCCAATTGACTATGGGAATGAAAACTGCATTGAGCACTTAACACTGTTTTGTTAATACTAACATGACAACTAATCACTTCGCACTTGCACTAAACAAAGTGTAAATAGACATCGCACGCGGGTGCATGTGTAGAGAAAGTTTGCAGTGGGGAGCCTCCGCGAGAGGTATAGACGATGTGAACTCACCTATTACGACTAACTATCAGTTATATTATTATACTATGATGCCAATATCGATCTTATTTCTTGCCGTTTCGTTTACTTATACAATAAAAATTTTGCGTTTTGGTCAGAAATTAAGATAAACATTACACGCTAACTTAGTGCTATATACATTTTAATAGTTTTAACAAGTACACGTTAAATTAGGAATAAGCATGAAATATTATTTTAGCATAAATCACAGACACTTTCCTTATAATCGGCCGCTCTCGAATCATACAAATTTTACATAGTGGTTACTTGATTACACTTTATTTAATATTGCGACATCAATGGATGCCAGTCAACGGGGGCCAGGGGAAATATGTTACATCTGTGAAAAAATGTGGATCTAATTTATAGAACGGCTTTCAATGACGAAATAAATTTGGCATATTTTTGTAATAATCGATACAAATAATGAATAATAACCAAAAAAAAAAAAAATCGCAACATAATTTCACGTACCTAATATACCGAAAACGACAGGTGGGCACATTGACTATAGAACGATTAAAGTTAAACTACAGCTTAGAGAAAAAACATAACCTACATTGTGTGTATGAATGATTAGTAAGATCTAAATTTGGCTGATGCCTTTGTTTCTTATTAATTAATATATATAAACATCATCGCTACAATAACGGTTTCACAGAAATAGTTAATATATTTAAAATATAATGGTTACAGTCAGTGAATAAGAAATTCATCTGTTTGAGTCTACACTAATATCAGTTCGGGAAGCGATGCTTCTCGCGTCATGTCAGGTAAACGTGGCGCTCGTCGATACACTATAGCAGTCTTTTGCAATAAAACAAGGCTACGGAAATATGTTATTCTGCCATAATTATTTTTAATCTGTGCATCGACGCCGCCGCGTAATCTCGCTGTGTGTGCGTGTGGCAGTGTGAACAGGACGCGTCTACAGGACGAACGCGTCGTCGCTGAGAGGTCAAGTGTCGTTGGGTGACCGTAGGGAGTGTAATGCGTTGCCGTGACCAGCAGGCCGCCGTCGGTCTAGGAACGTTTTCAGTTGTGTAGCCGATAGCGTAGTTGTGGGCGCCTGGAAACACATTGTATTATTTTTATTATATTTAAATAATCCGAATTTCATTAGCCGTATGGTCCCGGCATAGAATGATGGGAGCGAGAGAGATGATGAGCAGCAGCGTCCTTCTTAAAATATCTCTAAAGCTTGACTGCGTTTGCCAATCCGCCTGCCAAGTGTGGCAGGTACCTCCCAAGGGGAAGGTTGATGTTCAGCGGTGGACAGTTAAAGGCTGATATGATGATGAATCCGAATTTAATGGAACCATAATAACCGATTAGGGCACCACTACTTTCAGGGACAGTTTCACACATATCGTCATTGTCGTAGAATACTGACGGATCTGACAAAGATTACATATAAAGATCCGTCAGTATTCTACGACTATGACGATATAAGCAAGGATTTTTTAATCACCTCATCGAACCAGCGGTCTGCAATGGCGTCCCTGAGGGCCAGTCGGCGGGAGGGCGTAGGTTCCAACAAGCCCCTTATAACCTGCTGCGCCCGCTCCCCCACGCCGGCCCAGTGCTCCGGCGGGAAGCAGTAGTCGCACTTTATTATATTTGCTGTTGTCTCTTCTATTGATTCGTCTAAAAACGGTGACAACTGAAAAATAAAAAGATGTTTTAAGTTTTATTAATTATGAATTTTGATGATTTTCTTTTTTACTTTAATCACCACCATTATTTTTCAACCATCTTCTAAATTAAAAATTCGATTCAATACGATTTTTTTTTATGAATACTGCTCAGACTTTGTTTTTTATTGAATAGTGTACTCCTATGCTGGTCCTATACTTATTTTGCCTTCATTGAAGTCTGTTTTTTAACATAATTATATATATGTTGTAAATTCATGAATACCACTTGACAGTAAGCTATCGTTATATTAAATAGACACCGCAAAAACGCAGGGATGCCAACACTATTTACGTATTTTCCATTGACTAAATAGTTAAGCCATAACACCATTTTGTTAAGAAAACGTATCAACTCACCCCTGTTAGAAATACGTATAGGAAGACACCCGCAGACCAAGCGTCCCATGCGGGCGCCGGAGGTCGTCCTAGGACGCACTCTGGCGGCGCGAACTCGAGTTGCGCCGGCGCAGGCGGTAGCACCTCCCTGCCGGAAGTCGCCGCGCTACCCTCACCCGTCTCCACTGCTGAACCTAAGTCGATCAACTTCAGCTGCGGTTGTGGACCGCTCAGTTCCACTAGGATATTTTCCGGCTGCAACATAAAAAGGTATATGTTATGGCAATGGCAAAGCAATGTTCTTATATAAGTATATCGCCCTCTAGTACCAGGAGTTTCTATATCGTCTTCATTTTACACGAAGATCTGGAGTACACCAGACGAAGCATTTACATACTCTCGACAAAAAAAAAACCAATAAAGGGACAATTATTAATGTATGCACCGCTATTTACTCTCTCTGTTTAGCGTAACGGTTGACTGGTAGAGAATGCCATCAGGCATTAAGTCCGCTCTGTGTGCATAAGTATAAATAAATAATTTTTAAATTGCCCAAAAATTTGAAAATTCAGTTTCAGTTGTGGGTCGGGCTGGAATTCAATCTTGGGATCCCTGGATCGCAATTGTCCTATTGATTATGTGATGCTAATAATATTAGAACTATGTATAATCCGATGACAAACTTTTTTAAACACTGTGAAGATTACAATACAGTTCCTTTCTATTTGAAAATTTTATAGTTTCCACTTTTCTACGAGTATAACATATAAACAGCTCACCCTGACATCTAGATGGGCGATGTTGTTGCTGTGCAGCCAATCAAGCGCTGACAACAGCTGCTTTGTGTGTTGCGCGACCATTTGTTGCGTGTACGCATGAGGCGATGACGCTGCCCACTCTAGTAACGGCCCACCTCCCACCATTTCTAGTACGAGCGTGTGTGCGCCTGCGCGTGGTACCTCCGCGAACAACGCCATCGCGCGGACTACCGCGCCGTGGGCCGATTGCGAGAGGATACGGTACTCGCGCATAGCGTCTGCGCCGCGACCGGCTAACACCTGAATGAGACGAGTCACATAATATTAATTAATAACTACTTTATAAAAACGTTTGTTATTCAATCATAAATGAATAAATTTGATACAAACGAATTTATACACAGGACTTAAATTACGCGAACAAAGCCGAGGGGCATAATTATACTGTCATTGATTGAAACAATCTATTTCTGTTTCTGATCTTGAAGTTTATATTCAATTGGAAGAAATCAATTTGATTGAAATTAATTAAATGGCAACACCATATAGTTATAAAATGTTCTGTTTGACACAAAAAAAAAATGTTATGAAAAGCACTCTAGATAATGTAATCATCCAAACTGTGGGGATTTATTTGATTATATTTTCTATTACTTATAGAAATTAATTAGGAGTTAAAGCTGTATTTGATGTCGACCAACCTGTTTCAAGGCAACCCTTTGACCGGTGCCGGTATCCCGAGCGGCGAGAACCCGCGCAGTGCGGCCTCGCCCTATTTCCTCCTCTACGCTATATCTCCTCGCGAATTGTTCGCGTTGCCATCCACCACCGCCGCCGCACGCGGCTGGTCCTGATGCGGGCCCGGCCGCACCGCTACGGCCACAAATCAATCTGAAGCTGTACTGCCCTGCTGGTAACTCCTCCAACGCTAGAGTATTAGCCGCGGCGGGGGTCTCCGTCGCTCGTCTCCATTCTCCTTCGCCTACACGGCAGTATTCTAAGTGCGCGGGTGTCGGTTCGTCCCACTGAACAACGAGGCCGCCGCCGGGATGCGCGCGAACCGCTGGAACGCCTGGTGTACCTCCCGAGCCGACGGTCAGCCTCGCTGAACACTGCACGCCACCCAGCTCGTTACTGATTAGACAGCAGTACACTCCAGCGTCGGAAGCTCGGCACGCATGGATGGTGAGAGTGGCGAGGCCTTCAGGCGTGAGGCTGATTGCGAACCGGCCGCCGTGACGCAGTGCCCGAGTTTCCGGGGCCGTTTTGCGCCATGAGGCGGAAGCACGCGTGGCGACAGCGCGGCACGCGAGCGTAGCGGTGGCTCCTGGTGACACCGTGACGTCGGAGGCCGGTTCTGATAGCTCCGGCGGTCGCAGCTCCGTAACGACGCCGTCGACGCTCGGCTCGCCACTGCCGCCGCGCCGCAGCTTCAGTCCCCACGGCCGCTTCGATAAACCCTGTTACGATTGACACACTGACATCTCAACGGCGCTCGGTTACAGTGAAGCGGCGTGATTCCCAAGCGACACATGCATGCTCACCCAGTGCTCCGTCACCGTAGAGCCCGTCCACTTTTGTTATTATAAACTTAACTATTTGCAATGAATAAATAAAACTTAAATGTCATTGGCGGCTATTCAGAATCACTAAGCACAATAAGAAGTCCTGCTCGTGAGTCGAAACGGCTCGCTATCACAGTCTATGTTAAAAATGCATTCCCGCGTATATCATACCTACAACAAAAGAAATATAGACAAGCGTTAAAATAAGAAGAAAACATGCAAAAGAAAAATTAAGTGCAATATATTGTCAGTGCTGCAAAGAAGATAGAAAAGTACTTATTTGAAATAAAAGACTATGATAGAAATTATTTAATTAATAAAGATATATTTTTAATTATACAACTTAATGCTTGAAGTAGTAAAATCTAGAGAGCATTCATGCAAAATCAATGTAAACCAAATACTGAGATACTAACAGCATACAAAAAAAAAAAAAATAGAAAATTAAACGCCTAATTGTCAATTTTATCTATTACTATCATTAACCTACCTAATTGTACACATTTTTCACTCATGTTTAAGTAAGTAAATTTAATCTGATTCGACAACTCATTTCACATGTAATCCCTTATCACTACGTCATATAACTCGCTGTGGTTGTTTTAGTCATAGATATAAATAATATTTTTATTTAAATATATTCTACGTCCAATAGTAAATGTGAAATATTTGAGCTGACGACACTATTTACTATATTAATACTAACTGGCAACAATTGCAAATGATCCTAGAATCCAGTATAAAGAGGAAAAAATTGTTAGCAATGGAGATCTAACTTATAATAATTTAGATCGATCTTCAAGCTGTTCCGCCTGGAAACCATCTTGGTTTATTCTTGTGGAATTTGTCACGACAGCTATCCTACTTTCATTCTCACCTATCATTCCTCACTGGTGCTCCGCCGGCGTATACCGATAGCGCAGGCGGGTTTACCATTACATGATCACTCATAAAAAACACCCAGTAGATACAAATTTAAAGCATTCATAACTGCAGCTTCACGAAGAGCGGCAACGTCGCGATTAACCGTCATTTTTAAAAAACAATCTTATAATTTTTTAAGTATCTGATTGATTATTTAAAAAGTGCTCTGATAACGAACTAAAAAGCTAATCATAGTATATCTTGCATACAAATCAACCACAAAATATGTTGCACCTACTTCATTTTTGCAAACATTTTTTTTTTTACTCAAAATTCAAATTTTCAACAACTCTAAGAAGTATATTATTGCGTCATTAACGTTTCAGTTCATTAATTTTTAAATAATCAATCAGAGCCATAAAAAAACTGTTGTATTGTTTTTAAAATTGACAGATAATTACTAGGTTCCCATACTTCGTTACGAATGCTCTTTAATAATTATGGATATCTAACATTTTCTATGGGCGAGGTCTATATTCAGCAGATAACGGTCGATACCATAAAGACGATAATGACCTACTATTTCGTTGTTTTATTAATTACTTATAATTTACAAAAAAAAATTGCTACTGTTGTCAAGGCGATCTTCAAATAACATACTAATAAAATAGATAATATAACAATCAATCCATCAAATCAAATCAAATAATATAATGGCGAAAAACAAATAAATAAAGATAAAAATCAAAATTATTAATAAAATTTAACCTAATTTAGTTTATGTTGTATATTCTTGTAATAATATTGTAATGAATGGCGCAATATATATATATATATATATATATATATATATATATATATATATATATATATATATATATATATATATATATATATATATATATATATATATATATATATATATATATATACATATACATATGCATATATACATATATATATAAGTGTAAAACGAGATTATTAAACAGCAGCGAAGTTGAAAACAAAATATCTAATGGAATTTGGATCGTAAATTTATAAAAAAAAATTGAGCCTTTCATACTAACTGGAATAATGGATGTGCCATCTTATTCAGGTATAGAGGACTTAAAATATTTTTTTCAGTTTATGTAATTGTTATTTCGAGAAAATATATAATTTTATCAATACGTCATAGTCGTAGAATACTGACGGATCTGTCAAATATTACATATAAAGATCCGTCGGTATTCTACGACTATGACGTATTTATTCAGGGGTGATAAAGGTAACTATTTTACTATGTCCATCCAATATCTACTATAATAAGCACCGAATGGAAACTAATAAATAATAATAAGCGTAAACAATAATAATAAACTAACATCTACTCTAGACCATTCCAATACTAGATAACTATAGTTCTACAAATACCTAAATTTAGAGTTATATTTCTCTTCTTCTTATCAACCGTTTACTGTCCACTGCTGAACATAGGTCTACCCCATAATGGGGGTTTTGCCAGTAGTACCATCCTTGGCAGGCGAGTTGGTAAACGTAGTTAGGCTTTGATGATGTTTTAAGAAGGACGCTGCCGCCCATTCCTCGACCATTCATTTCCCTTAGTCGTCTCTTAAGATACCCACGAGAAAGGAAGGAGTGGCCCATATATGTTAAGACTACACGGTAAGAGTTAAACTTACGTTATATTAAAAGATTTTAAAACTAAATTTCAGAACTATAGGTCTCAATAAAAAAACCGTAAATCAAAAATTTATATGAATTTTGTCTAACGTACCATTAATATTTGGAGATAGATATGATAATGCCAACTCCTACTAAGTCGACTTCAAATTGCTATTCCCTAATTCTGTCTCTAAAATTAAATTTCGAGTGATGGTTCAGCGGTATTATGTGAAAGACCACCAGAAACTAAATTCAAAGTAATGATACTTCGAATGATAATTTTATTGTATTGTATAATTTTAGTTTTAGATCTGAGTACACAGTTATGTTCTGTATTTTTTTATAAGACAACACAGTAAAAAAACGGCTAACTGAGAGCAGGCAACCTGAATACAATCTACTATATTTTTGTTCATCTTTAATTTAAACCAACTTTCAAAACGTTTCATACCTGCAGAAGTCAGCGGCGAGATCTTAAGTTGTAATAAAATGCTCTACATTCTTTGACAGTTTTTTGATAAAAAACCCCATTATCGAATAAGCGCCACCAAGCGGGTTAAATAAGAATAGATAGATACCAAGACCTGCCATTATAATATGCTATTTGATAGCTGTTAAAGGGATAGATACAGTGTTCACTTCAGTAGTAAAGTTACCCAGCTTTTAGGTGAAATAGAAGATATAGTTGCCAGTGTTAGTAATAACCCTACGGTCACTTTATCGGATAAAGATTCATGTCGTATTGTTACGACAAAATTTCCGTATTCGGTCTATGTAAATAAGTCCAAATTATCTTTTTATCCAAATTGCATTCACTTGTTGCGTTGCATAAAGTGCACTTTTTTTTTTACACTTCGCTTTTGTCACTATACAATTTGATGAACGGTGATTTATCGAAAGTGGAGTAAACAAATGATTTGCGAGTTCCAGACTTCGAATTCTTTGTACAGACCCTCGCATTTCGATAATGTGACCGCAGCTTAAGTTAGTATTGAACCCTTTCACCTCAGACAAGCTGAGTACTCACGTTGGCGTGCGGCGGTGAGGTGGGACTCACGGCCGTATTCCCTGTAACGTTAACTGTCTTCTTTCTCTCGTCGCTGCGACTTGTAGTAGTGGGTAGGTTGATCGTGTTCGCTTTCGCGTGCGGCCGCTGCGTCCGCTGGCGCAAGTCGGGCGCCAGCCGTCCGCCCAACGACGGCGGCACGCTCTCGGTCTTACGCAGACCGCACCAACCCTCACCCACGCTATTGGGAGGGGAATAGGACCAATTAAAATTGAAGTGAAATAAAAAAAAATCGGGCGCGCCAGCTCGGTACTTCGTTTCGCCTTTGATTATAACAGAAAATAAAAGGGTTAACGATCGATCGCGTCGAAGGCGAAGCGAAAACCTCTAAGTACGCTGTACGTTTCGATGGCGCGACCATACGTATTGCAAATAGTTATTGCGTTAGTGAGCATTGCTATGTAGCTTTGCGCGTGGAGCGTATATTCTAGTAGCGTATTATTGCTGAAGCTGGCCCTCCCAACAAAAATTCAAAGAAACAAATAAACTCAATATAAGAAGCATGCGGGACTAAAAGCATTAAACCACAAGCATTTTTTATCCACATTTATTGGTTACTCATGTAACATATATTTCAGTATTACAGTGATTGTTAGAAGTTAGTAGTAAGTATATACATAATTTAGGAGTTTGGTAGGCATATATATACATATGACAAATATAAAACTAACGCACAGTTTAGAGACACGTTCGATTACAGAGAATTAACTCAATAATATCTGTTGGTCGAAAATTTAAAATACAGTTCAGCAGATATGAAAATACATTAAATACAGATCGTTATATAGTAAATACTTCGAGAGAATGTTATTTGAACTACATATAGTTTGATTATTACGTGTATTTCTCATACATTGTATATTTAAAGCGAGTACATAATGAAGCATCGATACTCTTTATTGCGAACTGTGACATGGTTGTATATTGAGATATAGCACAAAGTGACTAATGCTATGACATAGTAGGTACATATACACTCTAAATCCTGTGGAATGTTCCATCTATACAGCCGCCGTGAAGCGTGGACAATTCAAGCAATCCTTATTATAGAAATATAGTATTCTATAACTAAAACCAGATGACTATAGCCTACACTCATGGTTACATTATTTCTCTCTCACTATGGGAGTTTTAAGAAATAAAATACCAATGAGTAAAGCTAGTAAAATACTTTTATATCGAAGAATGCAAGTAAATACGAGTACGTATGTTAATCCCTAAATATTCAACGAACTAATTTAATTTATACAACACAGAGTCGACTTAAAACATTGTCATTTTTTTTTAATATTAACTGATGTAAAATTAGAGGGTTGCATTCTTCTACGAAGCGACATCATCTATATGTCCCATATCGTTATGTTCATGTTACTTTCACCATTGTTTATATAGCGTTTCAACATACCAAACCACAAAATACATCCATGGTTCTATCCGTTAATTAGGTATAGTAATTATCTTAACACTATTAACATCGAAAGCGGAGTCTCAAGCAAATAATTGTCTCACTAGTCTATGAAAACATTGTTTATCATGTATTTAACCTAAATCATGAAATCATATTGGGGTTGTAATATTAAATCATTAGAACGCATCAATATAAAAGGATATAATCTCCGTTTTGGCCCCAGAACAATAAAAATTAATTATACTAGGATACACGTTAATGGTTAACGCAAAAAGTCGGAGTGGTTACAGAAGAAAATTTGTCGCTAAGCACACTAAACGATATCTCTCTTTCCATCTTTATTTTCCGCTCGCTAAGTCACCGAGGCGTCTTCGCGCGAGTTGTTTTTGTTACGTCAATTCCATCCGTATGCCAATGTATCTAAGGTCGACTTTCAGAATAATAATAAAATAGTTCACTTAAGCCACTCCGTCTATTTGCGCTAACCCTCAACTGCATATGGGACAAATAAGTATTACGAAACCAGATCGAACGGTCTTATCACTATAAATTATTACATTATCCATATATTTATGCTAGTATAACATCGTGTCAATAGTATTATAACGTGTCACAATCGCTACACTTAGAAGTATAATTAATATTACGACATTCACTTATATATTAGGTAGGTAGTCGGCCAGTGACGGTAAGTAATCAATTCCTTATTAAATAATAATCGTCGATTTTTATACTAATCCTAAGGTTCGAATCTTAATTTATAATTTAATGCTGTGTAAATGCGATTAAATACTGATAAATGTTATTATTTCAACGGAATGAAGTTTATATGTGTTTTTTTTTTTATTATTTTATATGCGGTTAAATATGTTAAATGCGTTGTATTTGCTTACCATCTAGATTAATTTGTATTAGATAAATGTGGATTACAATTATGCGACTGTTTAATGCCAACCGTGAGCAATTTCAACATTGTCGGAATTACGAATGATTATGATATTTGGTCGCTTATAATAGCTAGTTATTATAATGTTTGCTGTGTTCAGTTTTCTCCAATCCTATATAAGTAAATAATTATTTAATCAGTATAGATTGTGCTTTTGTGACTTTTATATTTTGTATTTATACTGATTATATTATTATTGTAAAGTTACAGTCCTATGACAATGATGTAGTTGAAATACATCACCAGTTTGGGCTAAAACTATTTTAAGAAGTATGTATATATTGTTAAATTTATACACGACTGTTGATGTTTTAGTATGGACATTATCGACTAAATAGCTAACGATGATCAACATTAAATTATTGAAAAGAGCTTAACTACAAATTGGCGTGAAGATAGAACTCGCGTAACGAGATGATTATTTTTATATACATGTACAACACGCCTCTCTCTCGTTGGGGTAGGCAGGAACAGTTGAATGACAATTATCCGATTCAAATTATAAGACGACCTACTAAGAATTATCAATAATGATCACATAGAATTTAACTATCAAAATATGAAAAAATATACCGTTCTTTTGGGATATAAAACAGAACTCTATACTAAGTGTTTTAAATATCAGAAGCTATAATTAGAATGATTATCTCATGACGATTTTTTAAATAGATGTTGGTAGTATTTCAATTAAGAAAAATAAAAACAGATTTATTTCGAGAAAAAATAGAATGTGATCTAACAAATCAATTTTTTCTCGAAAGCATGCTACAATATATGCTTTTTGGTTAAAGCATATAGAGCATAGATTCTGCCCTCAAACCATCACTGGGCATGGCAGACTGACTTTTAACGTAATCAGGATAAACTCGTCATCTTATCGAATAGACGTCAAGTGGGCCTAACAGTGACGTCCGTTTGACGTCTTATCGACGTCAGTTCCCAAGTCGATTGCGTCGAAAGTCTGCTTGCTATTCATAACACAAGATTTACCTTTAAAGCTTTTACAAAAATATATTACCTATCTATTGATTATTCTTGACCCCTGCATCAATTACACGAACATATGAAATCTCCCAATCACTCCCACTCATATCTCACTCAATGTTTTACTAATTTATGATTTTAATACAGATGCGTGCAACCGTTAAGCAAATAACACTTCGCTCATCTCTGGATTCTAATTTCTATTACACTATATTTACTATGGATTTTGAAAAATACATATTGTACAATTGTTAAAAGGATATGATGGACATTATTGAAATATTTATTGACATTAAAGGATAGGAATAGCTTGTGATTCGATGGATTATAATAAAACCATATTAACTCGTTTAGAATGCTAGTGTTGAGTATTTATTGTAGCATGCATATCAATATCCATTTTCATTATTTCCATACCTTCCACTTCTTATATCCAGTCTTCTTCGATTCCTACTTAATGCTATATAACGAAGTAAATTAAACAATACATTTAAGTTCCCTCTTCACATTAACAAGTTTGAAATGCCTCTGTAAACGTTTTACTTTGGGAGTAATGACCTTATTTGAGAGATTGAATGGTCGACACAACGTCGAGTATATATATATATATATATATATATATATATATATATATATATATATATATATATATATATATATATATAATCGACATTTGATTTCAAATAGTTGGTTATTTGATCAAAATTATATTGTATAATTCCGTTAGAATTAGAATGTGTATGGCTTCCAACACTTGAAGATTGACCACCATCATTAATACCATAAATTTTACAAATCCTCCATATTAGCCATCAATTTCCGACTGCCATTTTGTTCGCACACATTTTACGACACGTGTTTCACCTCTAAACGAGGCATCTTCAGGCAAATTATCAAGTCGAACTCCACGTGGGGCCCCCTGGAAACTGTCGTGCTGAATTTCAGGTACATTTATCACGATTTGGCTAACTGGCCTACCTTTTCATTTTCATCTATCATCCCTCACTGGTTCCCCACCAGCGTGTACCGTTAGCGCAGACGGGGTTACCGCTCCATTATCACTCTATAAAAAAACTTGTTCGGCGCCCAACTGCGAGTGACTTATTTGACACCGATTTTTATTCTACTTTGAGCAGCGGTTGTGGAATTTCTGGTATTAATAGAGAATATCAATCTTCGAGTGTTGGCAGTCACACACATACTAATGGTAGGAGAATTAAACAAAATAATTCTATCAAATAACCAGTGATGTGGACTTCCGCAAGATTACACCTAGTTCAGTAAAATATTTTTAAAATAGTTGCAAACATTCAGAAGCTAGTTAATATTTATCGACGTATTGTTATTTGTGTGCTGTAAGTAATGCAAATAAAATATCTATCTATCTATCTAGATATTGAGAATTATTACTGACAATGGACTTTTATACTACGATCACATTAACGGGTGAAGATTCGCGTCGCGTTGTCGCGTAAATAACTTGTTTACGATCAACGACGGGCTCACGTTCCCTTTATCAAAATTATACATAAAGCCTGCAGCTTCCTTTTTCTATCCAACTTAGAATGGCTACTAACGGATAGTAGTTGACGGCCCACCTAATGGAATGTGGTAATTGTTGAGAGACACGAGCACAGAATACGCTCTGATTGCGACGATTTTCCTCATGTATTACCATTCCTTAAGTGAGTCCGTACTCTGTAATTTCACTGCAATATCCCATCGTTTAAACAGAAACATAGCCATGTAAGCACTTTACGACAGAAAAACGTCTGGGACAAAGATAACAACAGACGACTTTTGTACGAAATTTTCCTGTAGTATAATCATGCATATTTGTACCAAATAACGCAGATATCTAAGCTACAACGTAAACAGCTGAATCTTGAAAATGTGGCCGCAGTATTAGAGAAATACGTTCGACAATAAATTGCCAATATCAGATACACATTTGAGCATATAGAGCGAGTCGCAATGAGTATATCAAAACGAAATCCTGATAGTACTCATGAAACCGAACATAACATTCAGAATTTAAAAATAGTTCTCAACTATTGTATACAAACCGTGCGGTCACGTGATCGCCAAAAATTCTTTACAGATTTTAACAATACTCCTTCGAGGACATTCTAATTTTATAGCATACCACCACAGACTTTCGGCCTGGTATACGTATTACGACTAAACCGGTAGAAATGCAAATGGAAAATTCATTAACTGGTACGTACTGATTGAATTTAAAATATCGACAACTAATGTGCAAAGTGACGTATTGTTTACAAAACATATGAATGAGGTAGATGTGTATGACGCCCGGCTCTATTGAGCCACAACGATTATTATACAAATGAACATCTACTATTAACTCGACATGGTCCTTATACATACTGTCGCATGGATCACATTAATACTTTGTCACAGTAAATGTAACCTTCGTTATAGATCCAACATTACACTAAAAATGTACGACATCAAATTCAACTGATCTTTAAGAAGGTTTATACCGTCACACTGATAACATTTGCATTGCTTGTTAAAATTCAAACACAATTCTTAAATTATACAATTTCTCTATGATAATTTAAAAAGCGCTCATATATCGAGCTATATTGCTTATTATAATGCAATAAGGTTCTTATTAGCACTGAAAATTTTAAGTGTGGTAAAACAAAAAAAAAATTCCAAGTTCAAAATTCAAAAAAGATTTTATAAGAAGAGTTATAATTGTAGGTTTAACTGTTCTATAAACAATATTTCAATAGAAAACTATAGTTTTATAGTTAGAGAGTATGTAAATAATTATTTTAAAATATTATAAATGATTGTATTTGAAAATTGACAGATAATGCAATAACGTTATCAAACTTCGGTATGAACGCTCTAAGGCAGTTGACGCTTACTGTAAATACAAATATTGGCAGTATATTTATTGCGTAGTGGTCGGCACTGCGGTATTGAAACGAGTGGAATACTGATTTTGAATTATCTCGTTTAATTATTACAAATACAGGACTTAAATAGATTAAAAGAGACTGTAATCTAGGTGGTATATAATAAATCAATAATCCTATTTTCAGATCGCTACAATCATAAAAATGCATGAAAGCTATTTAACAATTCAACTTGTTATTCATCTGCTCTCGTTTATTTGGTAAGTTTATTGTGGAAACTTCATTGATTTTGTTATGGTTGTGTATATTATTTATATGTTTTAGGTATTGTATGTTTCCCTTTTAAAGTAAAATAAAAAAAAATTGATACCTCGTACCGTATAAGTGTTCATCAAGAACAAAACACAACGGCAATAAGTGTTAACTCTAAATTAGCAATGACAGAAACATAGGAGCCCCATGTTTATTCAAACCCCAGCCTTGAAAAAATCTTGCAATATAACTTAAGACTATTGGATACGTCTATTGAAAAATTGAATAAAAAAGGAATTATTTTAACATTTAAGTCATGTATTTATAGTATTCATAACAAGTAAGTATTACCATCAATGGCAGGCTAATCAGATTATGTGGGCATCAGTAAACCCGTCTACATTGTGTTGATTCAAATATCGAATTATTGATTGCATAAAGTGATATGGAGATTGGTGTTAATTTATAAGTACACGTCCTAATCGTACATTAATATTAAAAATTTCAAAATAAGTATATCTAAATATCAATTCCAATGTAATTAACCTAACTTGGACATTATTACTCACGCGTGGGATCACGACATGCCACGATCATAATTAAATTATATTACAATTAAATTTATTATCGTAACCATCACCGCATGTTATTGTTAATAAAAATAAATATTACGGTTAAAATTTTGTTAGAATTTAAATTACGCGCTGCTGCAAGCACGATCACACCAGTTTTAATCATCAGATCCGTTTTAAAGCTTGATAATCTGATAATGTTCAAGTCGTGCTTGCAGTGTGAACAAAAATATTCAGAAATTAATCTGTTCTTTACCGTATAATAAAAATAAATTAATTAAAATCGTCAATAACAAAGCGACAGTAAATTTTTACTCCATTCTAAGAAAGAATCTACTTGTAAATACGACGATGGAGTAAAAATTGAGTTTATGTAATAATACTTCCTGTATTATATGAATACTAAAGATTTATCATTTTCGTCAAACTTACAAATTTCTGTGGGGATTTATTTGAATACTTTGACAAAAGTTTCACAAGTCTTTAAACAACTTCCGAATATTTTTGTTACACTGAATATACGAGTAGGTGTTACATTTTGTTAGCTACCACGCCATGAAAAATTTGTTATTGGCCGCTAAAAGTCTAAAGAGGTTTTAACACAGATATAGAAAGAGAAAGATATCGCAATATATGAAAGTAAGCGTGTTACTATTAAATTACTTGATTTGATGTCATAAAGCTATTTATTGACACCAAAGCCCTCTAATTCTAAACCCCTTCGAAAAAGCAATGATGTTTTTATCGACTTGAATTTTTCGATTTATTTTTTCTCTTATTTGATTAACAATACGAAAGTAATGTAAAAAATGTCTGTCAGTCAATCTTACATAGACATTAACAATGTAAATTACAAAACAGTCATTTTAAAAACAAACAATTAACAGGCTAAGAGTTTTAAGAACACTTTATTTGTAAAAAAGAAAAAAAATAATAGAAAATGTTAGTATTTAAGGAGCAAAAATACCTTTTTTTTTTAAGAATAACACTTTTCCTTTAGTGATAATATACTATTTTTTTTTTATTTTTATTCAAATGGACAATTTGATTAATTAAGTTTAAAATGAGATTCTTGTGGATCTTCTACATGCGCGTAATATCATACATACAATAATGAATAATAATGCAAGTTTACGACCCCTTTAGACTTTCGCAGCATATTACATTCGGATGCACTGCTTATCACAGAGTAGGTTATGCTTCCGTGAAGCGCTGCCAGCATTGTCTGTTTCGGATTCGCACAAGTTACAGATTAAAAAAATATATAAAATGTTATAATAACATTGTAGTTGGCACTTGGCACATGTCTTTGGAATTTTATATTGTTTATCTGTATCATATACACATAAAATGACGACAAAAAATTTTAAACCTTCCGTGTAAGAAATATAGCTGCCAAAATAATATAGATGGCTCATTTTTATCATTTTTCGACTTATATGTCTTTAGTTAAAAATTTTAATTTTACTAGGTCGATTTACCCTGTAAGTATACACGTAGAAATTATATGCTGTTCGTTGATGAGCGTATTATTTGACATTGTAATGATTGTAATCCTTGAAGGAGTAGCAAGAGGCATCTGTCGACTATTGCTATTGTGGTGAAGGCAATGCTCAACATACCCATATTTCACTGAGCATTAGACTTGAACGTGACAGGAGGAGACTCTACCGCAATCAAATTTATTATTTAGCGTTTATTTTTTTTTTTTTAATAAAAATATTTTGTTATTAATTTTAGTACTCTTGTTTGTAACTTGTAACTTGGACGTACCCGAACACAATTGTAAATTATAAATTCTTGGACTAAATATACATAGAGGGAGTGTCAAATAGTGTCCCAAAAACGCATTGTTTTTTTATACTTCATGTTTAAATGTTATGTTATTTTCAAGGTCTATGAAAGTCCAAATACAGTTAATATATTTAAAGACGGTTTGTGTTATAAACGTCACCAATTACAAGAATTAACAAAATTTTATAACACTAGTTCCAAAACATTTAGGTTATTTTTGTATATTTTAAGAGACACTCCATCTATGCACTGTTGATCTATGTAGAAATGACATGATAGATCGATACTGCCGTGATTGTTCCGTGGACTGTAGGTACTTACGCAGCTGGGTCACGAGCTGGCTCCCTGTGCAGCTCCCGGAGGTAAGCGCCAGGGTTCTCCAGGGCTTCGCCGAAGATTCTTTGGGACTGCAGTATTCTTGACAGTGTGGAAATCCATTCGTGGCAGCGAGCCTCGGGAGCGCGGCACAGGTACGACTGTTTTGGTTTATTGGGATCCACCGAGTGAATGATGAAAGCTCCATTGGTGTCCAGCTCTTCTAGCTCCATTTTATTCACCTGGTGGAAGGTTAGGTCATCGTTGAGTATAAATAAATATTACCCTTCGACGTGTTACACAGCGCCATCTATTTCCAAACTTTTTTTTTATTATAGTACGACATGTTTTTTTTTTTTAATACAACTTAGAATTGCAAACAAGCTGACGGCCCACCTGATGGAAAGTGATAACCGTCGCCTATAGACATGAGCAGTACCATGGAGATAACAGAGTATACTGTTTCGCCCATGATACCGCCCATGCGCTGCCATTCCTGAGAACTCAGGTGTTATTCCTCTGTACCCAGTAAATTCACGCCATATCCTACCCTTCAAACCGAAACACAGCCATGCAAACACAACTGCTTCACGGTTGAAACACGAATGGGACAGAGACATGACATGTGATCACACCATCACCATAAGTATCTTCTGAAGATCAAGCGCATACCCATCTTGTAATAAAAAAAATATTCAAGTAATTTAAACTTATAAGATGTTCAATCCAATTCTGACGCTAATCTTGTTAAGCTACGTACAACAAAGATGTTAACTGTTTTGATAATTTATAGATTTTCATTGTCTTTTGTTACTGGCTGTGTCCAGACGGACTACCCTTTGGTGAATGAATGCGTTATAAGAACTAACCTGGACATGGGCCTTGTAATTGTAGGTGGGGCTAACGAACTGAGTCTTTTTGCCGACCGCCTCACTGAATATGACGCATTGTTCGAAGAGGAACACGTGGAACTCTTTGCTTTTCCCCTCACGGTCGTTGCCCCCGCCCGTGATGTCCGCTATCGCTAATGGTTCTTGGAGCAACAGCTTTCCTTGGGAGGCTATGCTGGCCTGGAAATAAAACAAATCACAGAATTAAACCACAGCGCCATCTATGACTTGATATAACAAGTACATATCAGACCTTGTAAACGATTTAAAATATTAAACCGAGAATGAATCCTGACGCATTTAGTGTTATAACAGGAATTAAATCAGATTCTCGGTGAATAAAATATATATATAGCTATATAGCATATTGATATAATAAATAATAATCATGTATAAAACAACCAAAAATATTTCGCAACAGCATTGAAAAAATATGCAAATTATAAACATAAAACATCATTAAATAAAAACCGATTCGCTGTGCAAGTTTTCAGTCACTAATAATTTATATACGTTGGCATCTTTTAAAGGACAATAGAATGCGTACATTTTTTACCCTTACAATATAAATAGATCAAAATAGTGTGTTAAGTACGCAGTTGACTGTAAAGCAAAATTTGTCCTTCACAAGCAAAAAATCCCTCGCATGCGTCTTAAGACCTTAAGAGCGAATTAAATTTGGCCTTACCGGGAATCCTTTTAGACGTCCCACATCCATCATTTTATTGGCATTCTTGGGTATGATGTCCGAGCACTCGACAGCATCGCGTAGAGCTTCCAGCACGGGCAGCGATGCGGCCGCTTGCTCGGAGTACGCGTAGATCTTCTTCACCAACAAGTGATACTTCTGGATGCGCTGGATCGGCTTTATCAGTAGGTCCCCGAGCTGGAACGTAAGTTATAAGAATATATGAGAAGTTAAATAAAGTTGTAATAACAGGAAAACGACGCCGCGAGGAATAAAGCGCGACTAAAAATATTTAAAGGCAAATGTTATAGGCATTGTTTCTCGTAAGACAAAATTTAATATTATATTTGCAATTATATGTTAAATTAATTATTAATTTATATTTAAAATATGTTAATTTCTGTAAGCATGTAGGCGGCAATACGATTTCTGTTTCCTATAGGAGAAGCTCAGTCTAGTGTAGGAAACAATATCAAACTTTGTACTTATACAAACATACTTTGATAATAATTACACTTTTATTTATTTTAGACAATTTATATATATTTTTATTTATTATAATATTTATTATAATTATAGACATGACAGTACAATCATATTATTGTTAAATAATTAATCAAAATAGGTTGATAAATTGGGTAAATGAGGACAGACAATATAATGAAATAAATCAATATCTGATTTATTTCATTATATTGTGTCAAATAAAAAATTTAACCGATATTGTCGCTAATAAATCTTTTCTTGATTTTTCACACACACACACACACACACAAAACATCAATATCTCTCAACTAACGACTTATACACCTATTTTGGCTATTGAAGTGTTTTGTCCTGTTCTTTCGTATTAATTTCTAAAGTTCAAATTAACTGTAACTATTAAGTTACAGTAGGTTTGTAAAGCTATAAGAAAAGACGTATTCTCTACTTAGTCTACTGAGTATAGGAACTGTAAAGTGTTCTTAGTTCACCATTGTTGTACACCTTGTTTTTATAATTCAAAATATCACTATGGAAAATAAAAAGCGTGACCTATAAATATATAACTAATTTTATCACACGGCTTCGTACGGGTAATTCGTATATAAAACACCCTATGTGTTAAGTTATAGTATAACCTACACGTGTACCAAATTTCATTCAAATCCATTCAGTAATTTCTACATGAATGAGTAACATCCATTTTACTAACTTTTATGTTAAAAACAATAGGATTATTTTAGAATTAAAATAAATACCTCTAACTAAACTCACCTGCAACTTTTGTCCGAGTTTGTGTCTTAGTTCTTGGAAATAAACTTCATTTTCCGAGACGATGAATTCGGAGACAGGTTTGTTCCGGCAGTAGGACTCGTAGAGGAACATGCGTTTCTCCAGGAAGCGGCGGAACAAATCACCCAACAGCTCCGGTTTCGCGATGCAGCCTTGTAATTCCTTCACGAATTTGCTGCACAAATTACATTAAAACGTCATACAACTGGTACTTAATATGTACCGACGCTAGGGTTTTTGGGAAAAGGGTGCATTTCATTAAATTAAAAAACTACATTTACAATTGTCACAACACCAGTTATTTGATTTAAAACCACTAAACTTATTTTCTGTAACTACATCCTTTCATATAAAAAAAAAAATTCCTAAATCTGTATACAACTGATAGAGGAGTTATGAGGTAACATATATTTAAAAAAAAAATTAAAAACCTTCTTCTTTTTGAAGTCGGTTGAAAATTTATAAACGGAGATTACTCGGCAATAGATGACGCGGTTGGTAATTTAGGAATTTGACATATTAATATACAACGATTGAAAATACCTATTAATTTGTAATTTCCGTGCACATTATGTTTCAGTATTAACTTTTTGTTGTTATTTTGAACTGTAACTTCTATAATACAATAATTCTACATGATAATAAATTGTGTTGACGTTATATAAGAAAATATACCTTTATTGAAAATTATAAAAGCATGTTTTATCACTTTACTTTCTTTTATTTTTTTATAGAGACCGTAATATACTAATTAATTAATGTACTATTAAAGTCTAACTGCGGTTGCCAACCCGCCTGCCAAGCGTGACAACAGCTGGCAAAACCCTACTTACGGGGAAAAACTATGTTAAGCAGTGGACAGTTGACAGCTGATATGATAATGATTATCGGGGGGATTACCTCCTTACGGGGAGGTTAGTCCCCGTTGCTATCAATGTACCCTATCAGGTTGACCTCCATGTGGTTTCCCCTGGAAACTATCGTGACTAATTTATCGTTGAATTCGTCTGATAGGCTAACTGACCTGTCATTTCATCCTCACGTATCATCTCTCACTGGTACTCCGCCAGTGTATACCGATAGCGCAAGCGGGGTTACTATGCCATTCTCACCCATTAAAAAAAAATAATGATGATACTATTAACATCACATAATTAGTACAATAGTTGTCACGTGATACGCATTATAAAACAATTTTGTATTGCTCGTCTCTTAAAACAAATGTTCTACTTAATTGATATGTTTTCAGGATTATGTCCCGAATCTTACACAATGCATTAGCGAAAATTCTTTCAAAATCCGTTCAAGTTTTTCCGTGATATACTGTATTTATACAAAATAATTTCCCACTGCCCAGCTCCTATAATCAATGGGGCGATAATATGTAGATCCTTTCCCAATGTTTGCGCAATACATTAGTGGAAGATTTTTGTCTGATACTTAAATACACAGACATGTAGACATAAAAAATTAACAAAAGAATTGTTTTAGGTTTCATATCGACAGTATAGCAAACCCCGATTAAAATTTTGGATAAATATTAAATGTACAGATATATAGTAGTGCCGTTTCTCGTGTTCATATAAACTTCCAATAATGGTTTTGCGAACCAAAAGCTCGTAAAATTTTTTTTATAAGCAATACCACTTATCATTATGCACTGCTTATCTTGTTCTTTCAAATATATTCGCAACAATTATGTATTGTTTTTATTTTTCAATTTAATCTTTGAATGTAATTTCTTCCTTATGCTGAGCAATAAATTTACATAATGGTAACCCTATTCACGCACACAAAGATAAAGAAGTTGAACTGTCTTAAAAAATATTTGTATGAAGACACTCTATTTATACAATTTTAAGTATTGAACCTATTTTTATTATTGCATTTGTTTAGAGTTAAACGCAACTAGAAAAATATGTCTCTTCTTTTATCGTCCCTGTTATCTTATACTCATAAGAACATGCCCCTATTTAATGTGCCGTTTCCGGCGTTCCAAAGGTAAATGATCGACTTTGATTAGATTCCATACAAACCTTACATTTCCTTCCACAATAATCTTCCACGTTACAAAATACCATGTGAAAGTACAGTATGTACTTATAGTGACAGCATAATAGTCGCATAGCGAGACAGTTCACAATCGCTGAGCACGTTGATACAAGTGAATGCGGTAAACAATGATAAATTACTTTAGAGATAAACTCAAGGCAAACCGCGTGTTGTGAGTCGACCGAACTTAGTGGGTACGTATCATTGTTTCACGCGTCACATTTTCCCGTTAAGATAAAAAAAAAACACACACACAAACTTTCACAAAATCGTGAAAAAGCACAGCATAAAACTTTCGCATTGCAGGAGAAAATAAAAGTTGGATTCCTGACGGTCGATTTTGATAAGTCTTTGCTCTTTGAGAGTTATCGCGAGTATAGCGCGATAAACGAGATACATAAGATGTACGTAAAATAAGTCAAATGTTATGGCGATCTCTCTACAAGCCATAATATGGGAATGGAGACCTACATAACGTTGTGTATAATGTAATTGTTTATAATGAATGACAAACAAATTACTCACTCTCGATGAAATTCATAGATCGCTTCGATGTTGCCGAACACCATGCGGTGTCGTCTGTCGTCTCTGAGTGGTTCTGGCATTGGTGGGTCAGTGGGATGCTCCTGTAAAGGTTAATCACCTATTGGCAACACATCTCGTACTAGCATAATAAAGATCTCCATTTATTAGATGTAGTCCGTACTATTGTTTATATTTTCCTCAGAATAAATAGTATCTAGTAAAGTTCTTTAGTAAATAACATTTTATTTGAATCCCATCAGCTATTTAATAGTGACTGAGTAGAAAAATATTCAAACGTCGATATGCTTTCACATTTATTACATTAATATTAGAAATAAGATTTATAATCATGCAGAACTACCTAAGAACAACAGTGCTAGTCTCTTCTCCTCTCTCTTACTATACTGACCAGGTGGTTTGGTACAGGATATTAATTGGGTAAGCAAGGTATACGGTGTTGTCCTTAGTCGCCATTAATGACATTCCGAAGGTGAAAAAGAGTGGTGATACATTATCATCATATCAAATCACGAGACTTATGCGTCAAGTCCACAGATAGAGGTATATATGGATAGAAGAATGCAGGAGATTGTTTGCACTCATCCTTAAATATATTGGCATGAAAAAATATACAGATAAACAAGGACATTAATAATTTTATTAGTCCAATGCACCGCTTTTACTCTCTGTTTAGCGTAATGGCTGACTGGTAGAGAACGCCATCAAGCATTAAATCCACCCTGTATACATATTTTTGCATATATTATGCAAAAGAATAAATAAATAAATAATACAATATTTAAGCAGTAACCAGCGAATCTTTGGCTGCTTTCGACGAGTGCTTATCTTGAGATTAACCGAGTGGTATTATATACAGACTGCATTTATGCGCTGTGCATTATGATAAGTCAATGTTCTCTCTAGCGAAGATATAAACCTGTAAGAGGTAATACCTATGAGATACGTCATCGTTTCATCTATTCAGATCAACATAAAGAATATGCAATATCAAAAAAGAAATTAAACTATTGAATTTAATTAAATACTAAATGTTACTCATGTCTATACGTGACAGTTACCACTTTCCATCAGGTGGGCCGTCAGCATGTTTGCCATTCTAAGTTGCATAAAAAAGTACATCCTTTACATACATGTATATAGATTTAATAATATGTACATTTTACATGTAGATACTGTTGTTCAGGTTTGTTTTGTACTATTGTTGCCCATTCACTACTTCCTATACCACTGTGTTAGGTTGTCTGGAAGAGAACTCTTTTAGAGATAAATTCATCTTTGCTCACATTATTTCAATTTATTATTAGTACTATATATTTTAGCATAATAAAGACTATATATATTGTTGGTAATATTTGTTAAAGCAGACGGCGCCGTGATAAATTCATCATTAGTACAGCTATTGTAAAGTTAAATAATAATAGGTGATAACACCGTACAAATATTAACAGTGACATTAACTAAACGATTTCACTCATTATTTTACTAGAACTCATTGTGATTAGTGCTATTTGGAAAATCCCTAAAGACTATTAGTACTGCCCTGGTTTAGTATTAGTAATGCTACCACTATCGATAAACACTTGATATTGCATTATTCTTGCTTACGTAAAACGTTCTAAATTTATGTTTTAATAAGAATTTATGTATGTGCATTATTGAAATAAGTATATATTAATATATATATATATAGTATATATAGTTATGTAAACACTACTCCATACAAGAGGTTAGTGTTTTAAAACTCATTTCTTTTGATTTCTAGAACTTGAATCCCATTTTTAAGGTAAAAAAAAACGGATAATTAAATGATTATAAAATTATTATGGAATCAACACAAAAATAACCTAAATCTTGCCGATTATGGAAATAATTACCAAATTGAATTGACGAAAATATTCCATGATATATTGGCTATAATTGTGCAAATATATTTCAATTTTTTTTTAATATCTACATAATCTTGAAAGTAAAAGTTTAAAGTGGTAACCGTCACGTATAGACATGAGTAGTACCATAGACAACAGAGTATACTGTTTCAGCCATGATACTCCCCATGCGTTGCAATTCTTGAGGACCCAGGTGTTATTTCTCTGTACCCTGTAAATTCACTGCCATGTCCCATCCTTCAAACCGAAATACAGCCATGCAAACACAACTGCTTCACGGTAGAAACACGAATAGGACAGAGGCGCCCAAGGAAACGACTTTTGTACAAAATCTCCTTCTAGTGCCTGATGTTTGTTGAATTATTTAACACTACCTGTATACCGCGGCTTCGCCCGTATGAATCAATCAACAAGTAGATAAAGTATCCTATATGCTAAGTTAGGATATAACATGACCGTGTACCAAATTTCATTCGAATGCGTTCAAAACATTTTGCGAAAAAAAGCAAGAAATATCCATCTATACATCCATCCATCCTTACAAACTTTCGCATTTATAAATATTTAGGATAAGTTGTAATTTGTAATTAAAGAACGATTATTAAATATATTAATACAACTGGACAAGTGAGAATTACCTGGAAGGATAGGATAAGAAATTAAGACGTCCTACAAAGAATTAACCCTTAACAACATCCGTGGGGGATCCCCACGAGTGTAATTACATTAGTTAATTTTTTATAACTTTTTTTTACAATTATGTTTTATTTTGGTTTTATAATGCACTATAAATAAAAATATTAATCCCCAGCAAATATAAAATGTGTTTAGAGAGTCAGATGTAAGCAAAAATAAGTAGATTTTATCAAAACAAAAAATTTCATTTGGACGATATAGTAGTGGATATTGATATTGACCATGTCACGATTAAGTGGTCATAGCTTTATTAAGTTCTAATAAAGTAAAAAAAGCAAGTAAATGTATAGTATAGCATGGATTTTTTTTAGTTCATTTATACATTCACAAAAAAAAATGTGTTTTGTGTGGAAAATTTGTAGTTCGTTTACATATGTTTACTCAATTTTATTTACTATTTGATCTTCTGACAAGTTACTAAAATGTGATAAAGGTTTTAAAATACTTTTTCATTTGACCTAAAAAATCTTTATTTTATGTTTAATTTTTTTTTTATTGTTTAATTTAATTCCCAATATACCCTTATTTTATTTCATAAAAGATCCACTTAATTTTTTTTTTTACATTTTATTGCACAAGTATTGGGTAAACGCGTAGAGAAACGAACTCCCCCACGGTTGTGGATTTATAAGTAAAAAAACGAGTGATGTTAAGGGTTAAGAATAAAAGATAGATTTTAAAAAACTGTCGAAAATAGAGGGGAGAAAATCTTCCGGGATATTTGCCGGGCGGGCAAATAGCGGCCAGAAGTCTGAAATATAGTTAATTGGATTTTGTTGTTGGTTTAATAACACGTTTATAGAAGTAATTTTCGTAAAAATGAAATAAATCTTCGGGAAGAGAATTTTCGTTTGAGGATAAATTAAGGTTAAAATTTATAATTTTTATACACGCGTTATGGAATTTTTTCATTGATATTTAATCAAAAAGGATTTGTTATAAAAAGTATAAAAGGAAGAAGAAGAAAGAAAAACTTAGTGCTTAATTTTAGTCTTAATTACAAAAAAATATTTAACAATAAACAAAAATAAACATAACAGAAAAGAACGACACTAAAACGGTGTCACACAGCTGAGATGAAAATTAGTGTCATGTTCAAAAGAATAGGGCATATAGCTATATGTCATGTTCTTTTGATCATGACGCTGATTTTCTGTGGCACCAATTTGTTGGAGAGAGAGAGAGAGAGAGAGAGAGAGAACACTTAAATCAATAAAAAATATACTGAATTGAATTGGTAATAATGGTGTGAATTTTGCACGTATAAAATTAATACCACAAACTTTATTTTAGGGCATCTTATATAAATGTAGTGAATGTATTTCAAATGTGAATATAGAATATATTTTATGAATATATTTTTATATGAAATAGGACGGCCGAGTAGATTAGCTAATTTTACAATATACCTTATAACCCTCTAAATAGACATTATTTCTGACCTGCATATGACGCATGTAGCCCTCACAGATGACTTTCAGGTCTGCGACATATATTTCTTCGGTATCGAAGAGCTCTTTTAAAACAAACTCGCGTTTCTTGAGGATAGCTTCGCTGGTATTAGGACCAGGGGTTACAGGCTGCTCATCCTCTTCAGGGTCTCCCACTCTTCCCGAGGTGCTCGCGCCACCATGTTGTTCCTAGTTAGAATACCAGTACATTAGTAAGATTATTTTTAAAATAAATGTATAAAATAACAAAATACTGCTAAAAATAAAATGCACATAGGAAAAAAAAAACTTTTAATTGGCAATGGCATAGTACTCAGCATGAACTCACTCGTGCCTATATATACAATCAATATTTTCATATCAACAAATAAATAACTAAAGTAATTAATTAGTTAAACTTCTATTTCATATAATTAACGATTTCTATTTCAGAAAGAAGTTTACAATTCCACTATATTCTTGTGTATGATATAAATCAATACTAAAATAAAAGTAGTGTACATTTAAGTAAAGTTTATGCATTATAATATAGTAATTCTTGAGATTCTATTGTATAATTTGGAATGAAATTTTTGCTAAGAAGACTGGGAAATAAACTCAGCTGTTGCATTTTTAAAAATAGAACTTTAAAATTTGTTTGAATTATGAATTACACAAAAGGGTAATGGTATTATGCTCCCTACTATACGACATTCTCGGAAATCACATATTGCCATTTGTGGAATGTAAAAAAAGGATAGTCCTCTTATTCGGCTGTAGGTATGTACATAAAATACAAACGTTCCTTAAAGTTCTGCCTGCAATGCGATTTACAAAGACATACGTTTATATTCTAGAATGTTTGTTAGTGGCAAATTAATTGTTTAATTACCAACTTCATTCCTGTTAACCTAACAATTAGTTTCTGTAGCTGATAGACAATTTAATATAAATAAAGTTTCCTTAAGCTACACGTCAGAACAGTGTATAAACCGTTTCCTTTCAGTTCCCTCGAGATTATATTATTCCTTTATATTATTCGTGTAGATATTAATCAATTCCTTCTAGGACGGAACTCTGCTGTGTCTTCTATGCTCAACCTGTTATCCTCCATATTCATAAATTAAAAAAAAAAGTTCTTATACTAATAGAAAATTAAAGTAGTATACTATATATACAAGTGCAAAATTTTAAGTTGTGAACCTTACGGTAAATACAGTTAGTCAATGTTTTATATAAGTAACAAAAAAAAAAAAACAAAACAAAGAAACCTACTTAATAAAATAAAACAAAAATTTGTCTGTAATTATGCGTGGTATTCTATGTAACTTAAAAATAAAACATTGACGTTGTCGTGTAAAAAGTTTTATCAAATTCCAAAGCAATAAAACGTCGTTCGTGTCATAAAATTCATAAGATCATTAAACAAATATCTAGAAAAGAATATTTTAGTATTTAAACAAAAATAAGTAATTATTATATTCATTATTTTTGCGTTTTAGCGGTACTATGTCACAATAATACACCTAAAATATAATAATAGGGCAAATATTTTGCACTCAAGTGTAATTGGACAAACTTGCCGCTTTTTGTTCAAGAAGAAGTCCCATAAACAAACGTGTTGAGTAAATGGGTGTACAAGTGGAATATTGGGAGGTAGACGTAGCGTCTTAACGTGGAACTAGTTTGAAACTCGGCCGGATTATTTGCGCCGTGCCCCATATTAAACGAGTTGAGAACAGAGTTCGAAAACTGTCGTCGGCAGAATACATAATTTGTTAATTTACAAAGTTTTTGTTTTAAGTAGATTACTCTTTGATATACAGGTTTTAATCAATCATTCGTTAGCATGCTTTTAAGGGAGTGTCCTACCATTCTGAAAATGATTATTGTTCCAAAAGGAATATAGATTGATAAACGACAAATTTTTTTAACCCATCCTTACTGGGGGAAAGGGATTGTTAGTAATAGGGGTCAAGTGGTCCCATCACTAGCAATATACCCTGTTAGGTTGACCTCCACGTGGTTTCCCCTGGAAACCATCGTGGCTAATGAGACAGGGTTACCATACCATTATCACCCATTAAAAAAAACCCCCATCCTTACTAATGCGACGCAATTTTTGATTTCCTAGTTTCCTGTCTTAATATAATTTTATAGCATGAGTAGGTTATTAGTTTTATGTAAAGATAGTTAACAACTTTTATATCACGCTGTATTTCTAAATTTTGATGAATAAATATGAGATGATGTGAGCGGCGCCACAAATATAATGAATTACGATAAAAACAACGGAATGAATAGTTAAAAATAATATTTAAATAAACTTAATAACAATAATTTTCGAATAGTAATTTTTTATGACCTTATCGCCCATGCAGATTACAATTTCAGCTCAGAAAAACGGACAAGAAACTCAACAATATATGATTTTTCAATCAAAAACAGTCATAATACTTTTTAAATAGTCGCGGTCGACTTTATAATTAATTTAATAATTCCTTCTTTTTTGTATAATAAGCACGAAAATAATGTTATAATAATTATATTAAATTTTATTGTATTAATTTTATTGTGTAAGAATAAATAAATAAAATGTACCATTTAACACGATCTAATGAGATACTTTCATGTCAGATTTGTATTACGTTTAAAGTTTTAAACATTTATCTTAGAGAGTGTTAAAAATGTATATAGAGACGACGTGTGTATAAATATTGTAAGAACAAATTAAACATTAGACTATTATAAATTCAAAGATAATAATTCATGCTTTTTCTTGGGACACACTTTTAAATAATAGATAAAGTCTGTGTTCTACGACAAAACCGACTTCAATTGTGACAAATTCAGTTATTTGATCTAAAAATAAATTAATAAACAGATTTTGATAAAATTTCTATGGATCCAATATGTATATATATATCCTTTCAGATAAAAAAAACTTCCAAATCGGTTTATAACAAAATACAACCGAATAGAGAACCTCCTTTTTTGAAGTCGGTTAAAAATAAATATAGTTTAAAAATATTTAAATAAAATACATTAAAAAGAACATGCTGGTGATGAAGCTATAAAGTGATATTATACAATAAAACACACAAAACAGTAAATACAATAAACATATACATACAAATACAATAATATACAAAGCGTCAAGCCAGGACATAATTGAAGATTAGGTATATGTATAAAATTGGATGTCATTAGCGATATTTTATCCTTAAAGTCCCAATTATTCGATGGGTATCCTGAGGCATTAATTAATATGGCAGTTCAGTGCGTGACATACATACAAACGTATTTGGAGGCCCAAGAAAACTACGTAACCCAAACGTCGTTACGACAGAACACCATTTAAGGCTGTACCTTAGAAGGCAACGAAATATTTTAGTGAGAATTAAGTAACCGGTGTAATAAGTCAAAACATTGTTAAGTAGTTATTTTAATATAATGCACAAATAGGGTTACCACATGACCGAATTTAAATATATAAGAATTTTCTATGTGACTTTTTAATTGGTCATTTTATAAAGATAAAAAAATGTGTGTTGAGGATCCGATCATTGAATTCTTCAATCGAAACTTTCCTAATTTCATAACAATGGTAACCCTATAAACAACGGAAAGTTCGTCACTTTGTTGAACTACCGCTACAAAATAAAAGGGCATATCTAAAAACACACTACATTTATTAAAAAAAAAAAAAAGAAGCAAGTGTTCTAACCACGTACTACTATTAAATGTGAAAAATTTAAAACTAGCTCCATGCACACTACATGCTTTAATTCTGAACCGAACCATTCTTTCCTTGACAATCTGTTCAATTTCTGCTATATCGGCAGGACCACCATTAGTATCCAAAGCGTCCAACGCCAGTAAGTTCTGAAAATTGTATTAACATGTCACCTTACTGTACTTTACAAGCACCTATGAGATCCCTCAAGTTAGTTACAAGTTTGATGTTAGATAAAGATGTTATGATCGGTTTTAAGGATTAAGTACACGTGTGACTAGAACGTTGGTAGTGGAATATACTTACTCGTGTGGTGGGGACAGAAGCTGTGGCGACAGGAGTGGGTGCTTGCTGCAAAACCGCTTGTGGATCCTGAACAAACATTAAATTATAATAAACAAATTTAAATATTTCCAATAATCCGAACGGCATTTGCACATTATAAATATTTCCAATGTTGACACCCCTATATTTCCGTTTTCGTCTACTTAGTACTGTCATTTTCAGCTTCCTACGTGAAGGAAATAGAATGGCGTACTAACACATAATATTTGCTTTGCACGGACGTGGTGAATAAAAATAAACCATCTGCAGACTAAACAAGATCTAATATCGGTTGGTGTGACGTCACATGTGCCGTATCGACACAAGTTGGGTTCAAAGTGAAATTGCGTGAGTATACGTTGACAGCGGCGAGATGAGATGTTGTACAGAGGTATATAAATAAGGCCTTAGAAAACAAAGTTTAGAAGTCGATTTTGTTATTCCAATTAAGGTTTAAGAGTTTAGCTATATGTATGTACTAAGCGCTTGTTTAGTTGTATTACAAACATAATTTGCATAACTTTGTCGCCGGTTCATTCTAAGGATATTTATTACTGGTGCCTTGACTTGACTAAAATATCCATTGATATACAAATAATCCAAGATAGACAATTTAATATTATACTGTCATATACTTTGCGTATCAGTTTTTAGTTCTCAAATAAATTTGACTTCAGCATTACATTAATTTAAATTCGAAATTCTTACATGGATACTATGTTGTGAAAATAAATTTGAATGATAGAAACAATACTAGATGGTATTTTCTAAAAGAGTGTGGAAAGGGTTTATTATTAATATTTTTTGTAGTATCACGGCAAATATTTTAGTAATGACATGCTTTATTTACACATTACTTGAAGATATTTCGCCATCTACGAGTATATCTATATTTGCAGTACAATCAAGAGATAAAAAGTGGCTCTAAAAATAGAAACATATTCAAGTAAATAATGCTCATATTTCTAACAAACTAGTAACGTTTGTTGAGAAACTTACGAAATATACAAATACTGTAATATATTTTATAAAAACACAACATTTAAGCACAAAGCTTTATATTTTCAGTACCTATCATAAAACATTTTTTCAATTCTTATTGTACATTATTTAAAGTGTATTTTTTTTTTTTTGGTTGGGTATCTTAAATTTTTATTTATCAATATTAATATCATATTAGGTTTGATTCTACGATCAAATAATCACAGGCCATCAGAAAGAGTTATGGAACGTCAATGGGGTAATCTCAGTTGTGAATGGGTTGTTAAGATGTCTATATATTTATATATTTGTATGTACAACATATGTGGTTAAGAGTTATGAGCGCGCCTGCGGCCGCGATGACGTCATAGGTCGACTGCCAGCCTTCAATCTACAAAGTGGTGACAGGAATATACTTAAATGCCTAATTCGCTTCTCCGTGTCACCTCTTAAGGGCTTGTATACTAAGCTATATACAAGGTGTAATCGAAATCATTAGCTTCTTTTTATGAAGAAGAAACGAGTAGAAAATTAATTTTTGATACTCTTACAGATTAGTGTTTTTTTTTTTATTTTAGAATTCTGAGTAAATTATAATTCAAAATGGAAAATAAAAAGTAGATACCAAATTTTAATTTATATGTTATAATTATTAGCTTTTGTCCGCGACTTCTTCGGCCGAAATAAAAAGTAATGTTTTTCTTCATCTTATGCAGTACATGCGTATACCAAATCCCATAGTGTTTCGTTAAGCCGTTAAGACGTAATGAGGTAACAAACAAACAAACTGACCTTCGCAGTTATAATATTAATAAGGATATGCAAGTAATTCTATAACTGATACATTTGGTCAATAGAAAGGCATTTTTTTATTATGTAGATATATTGATTTTTTTTTATTGGACAGTTAAATACAAAGATCCAGACTTCGGTTTAACACATTTTGAAAATAAAAAAATTACCTGTATAGGTTTCATGGGCGGCGGAAGCTCGAGATCCGCCGTGTCATCCTCAGTCTCATCGAGGGCACCCGCACCGTGGCTGCTTTCGCCACCCTCCTCTGTACGCCCATTGTCAGTGTTGTACGGCAACTGTGAGAATACAAAGTGATGAATCACGTGTAAAAAGAGGCAATTAGATTAATAATCTCTCCCACTTTCTTGTTACTTAAAGAGGCGATCGACTATTGAATGAGCAATCTCTCCCACTTTCTGGTTACTTAAAGAGGTGATCGACTGTTGGATGAGCAACCTCTCCCACTTTCTGGTTACTTAAAGAGGTAATCAATTTTTGGATGAGCAACCTCTCCCATTGTCTGGTTACTTAAAGAGGCGATCGACTCTTAGATGAGCAACCTCTCCCACTTTCCGGTTACTTAAAGAGGCGATCGACTCTTAGATGAGCAACCTCTCCCACTTTCTGCTTACTTAAAGAGACAATCGACCCTTGGATGAACAACCTCTTCCACTTTATAGTTACTTTAAAAGGCAATCGACTCAGATAGATGAACAGTCTCTCCCATTTTCGAGTTACTTAAAAAAGGCGATCGACTCTTAGATGAACAACCTCTCCCAATTTCTGCTTACTTAAAGAGACAATTGACCCTTGGATGAGCAACCTCTCCTACTTTCTAGTTGCTTATTCATAATGCATGACCAGAGGGAGAAGGACTGTCAGTAATAGAAAATGCTTATAAACAATGGAGCTTCTGTCAGGCCGACCCTTACAGTCACCTCTGGATACCATCATGGTCAATTCCCAGTATTATTGTTCCGTTAGGTCAACTTTTCGATATCCATCTTCGTAATGTACTGAGGCTGACCCGTTTGGGTTTAAAAAAAAAAGAAAACTTAAAAAATAAGTGGTTGCACCACTTTGTACCAATTTGATGTTAAAGAAAATTAATCTATAATTATTTTTTACAACTTTGTCTCATGTTAATTCACGTGATTAAGCGGATTGAGATTTTATACGGACTGACCGACTATTCCATTGCAATTGCTTATAAAACTAATGATTCCCACGATGGGTATGCTTTCAGCATTTCTTAGTTACCTTTAGCATTCCTTAGTTAGCTATCAGCGTAATAGTTCCGAGTGGCAGCCCATTTTAATACTTATGATGACCAGAGAGAGACTTTACAAATGTCGTCCATATTAGTATCTTTAACCCACTCGTGTCTCTGGCGTCAATTTCAATGTAAACTGTGTTTAACTATACTCCGGCATGACAGTTAAATTAGTGAATAGGATACATAACACTGGATCTAAGGAATACCAACGCAGAAGGGCTACCATAACCTCACAATATGTTCATGGTTCTATCCATATCTATAGATATTGGTCACAACTTTACATTAGGTGAATAGTCAGCTTGTTTACTATTCAACGTTGAAATAAAAAAAGTATATAAGTAGTTAGTTGTATTTATAGTCTTACCCTGAATTTCTTATCTGAGGGCACCTTCTTGAGTGGAGCGGGTTTGTCTGATGTAGCTGGAGACTGGGCGCCGCTAGGAGCCTTCTCCTTGACCTGCGACGGCTTCCTCAAGCCAAGCCATCGCCGTCTAAAAAAACAAAGATAACCACTTAATATAAAAGTTTAGATTTTTTGGTGACAGAGTAGAAATACAGTGTCACTACGTTTTTTTTTTTTTACCTAAAGGATGTCGCAAACAACATAGATTATCAAAGATCTTCTATTATAATTTGGACCGTTTTAATTGTTTGTTCCATAATACAATCTAGTAATGAGTTAACTTTCTGTATTTACAGCCTTTTGTTTAAGTACATTCAAAAGCTTATTCTCATTTAACTATTTAACATTATTTATTCGTCAATAAAGGTAACATCGATAAATAAACTAATATTCTATTTAAATCTTCACCCCCGCGTCTGAAGTGTGCAGACTTAACTGGTGACCTGTTTCCTTGTATTTTTCTAATGCTTTGTTCACTATCTTTAATTTCCAAACTTAAGTAATATAGATAGTATCTCAATACAAACGCTTCGCTAAAAACAGGTCAACTTCCATCCATGTGTGTATGTGAATGTGTAAATAGGGTTACAATAAAGCACGCAATGCTCAGTATACGAGAGAGTATAGCCGCATGCTCGTTTGCCCCGTGTTGTAAAAAAAAAAGAAATATATTGTAATGTTAATTAAAATTGAAAAATAAAAATGTTACAAAATTATCACAAATATATTTAAAAAATCATGATAAATAGTGCATAATAATTCCTACTGATGCTTATCTTTACTGATTACCATGATTTAGATCTAAGTATAATTTGAAAATATGTTTTTGTTTTTAAATCGGTGAAAATAGCCACCATTTTAATTGATACATGTACACTTATTTGTAAATAATACGTACATCATGTATATTTATATTAGAAAAAATAGTTCCAAATTTAAAATAAACCGAGGTATATATTTTAATATACCTCGGTTTATTATATATATATATATATAAAGCAATGTGATTTAAAGATAGACATAATGATCTGGAAGCAATGTTTGAGGGCTCGAGCATTTCGAGTGTACTTATAAACGGGAGAAAAGAATGGAAAAGCCAATGGGCGCCCTAAATGATGTACATCGACTAAATTGGGGATATTCCAAAGGGAGACGAAATTAGAAGCAACTGAATTCGACGGGTTCGCGAAGAATGTAAAGAAAGTACGAGAAAGATTAGAAAAACGAGATGAGTGGTCGTTATCTCGAAATAACTGATTTCACTTTGAGTTCGATAAAAAAAGATAAATCAAGATACAATTGGTGAATATAATGACGTCTCAAAACACCCAGCTAATATTGACCAAGGTATATTGACTAATAATTTCTCCATTTTTATTATAAAACAATAATAATTTACTAATAAACCACAACAAGAACTCTGCAGACACATTAAACTGATAATATTTAAATTTAGTGAAATATAAAGTATTATTAAAAGGAAAAATTTTACTTTTTGTTTGTAATGGATAAACTTAATTAAATCAATTTTAAAATTTATTCACCTATCAAAAGCTACATTATCATTTTTTTTTATATAACTTAGAATGGCAAACAAGCTGACGGCTCACCTGATGGAAAGTGGTAACCGTCGCCTATAGACATGAGCAGTACCATGGACATAACAGAGTATACTGTTTCGCCCATGATACCCCCATGCGTTGACATTCCTGAGGACTCAGGTGTTATTACTCTGTACCCAGTAAATGCACGCGATCAGCGATCAGCGAGTAACATGAGATATACTTCATTTTAAAAAATTAGAGATCTATTTTTCAATCTATGCAAAGCCGGGGAGGGTGGCTTGTCATATATGAAATAGTTTTCTTTAATACATATAGTTGCTCCATAAAAATAAACGGCGAAGATAATTATTCTGTATTCAATATAGGACTAACACAAAAATAAAATTCTATGGACAATGGCAAAAAAACCCAAATTCGTTTCACAATTAGCGACGTGACCAGGTAAAATTGCTACAAAAAAAAAAAAAAAAACAGATGAAATTTGCTTCTTTTACCTTTAAAATTAGCACATTTTTAAGATCAACATTACCCTCCCTTCTTCATTGAATAATGACAGTCAGATTAAAAAAAAAGAATCGAGTCTCGAGTCGTTTGAAGTTGTGTAACGTACAAGGATAATTAGAAAAATAATCATTTGAAATTAAGCATAAAAATTACCATACTTAAAAGAATATTTAAAGTGGAGTGAAATGTTAAGCCCTGTAATAAAGCTGAAGTAAAGAGTATCTTTGAAAGAGGATTTAACTAGTAATCCAGCCCGCGGGGATGAGCCGCTTGGTTTAATTCACATTCATTAAGGAATCGCACCTATTTTTCTCACTTTTGAAAACATTTTAACAATTAGACATTTAAATATTTGATTATACTTATTAACTCTAGAACTATAAATAGGGGTACGTCTACTACAAACAAACTTCAAACTACGTTTTTAAGTTAGTCAGTTAAAATTTTTAACGAAAGCATTTTAAAAAATTTCAACATAAAGACGAAACATGACATCAAGCGTGTAAAACCGTGGGGAAGAGCTAATTTATACATTTATGATATAGAGCAAAGATGTTTTTGTTTGTTCGTTTGTAATAAATAAACTCAAAAACTACTCAACCGATTTTAAAAATTCCTTCAGTTATAAAAAGCTCTATTATCAGCGAATAACGTATTATTATATAAAAAAAATTTTAAATCCCAAAAAAAAAATAATAATTTAATCAAAATTATAACATATTAGCTATTATATAACTAATATAAAATATAAATTTACTCGTATCTTTCTATCTACCCGCGCGAAATCATGTCGAATTACTAGTATTCTACAAAAAAAAATACAAAATTTTAGAAATTGCCACTAAAAACACGATCAGGTTTTCGACTCGTCTGTATTCACTGCTAAGTACATTACGCGATTACATCTCCAACTCCGGCTGATTTCAATAATTCCTTTTGAAATGTAATATTATTTACTCCCGTCATGGTTCTATATTAATTTGTGACGATTGAAACGGCTGTTATTCTTTACCGAGCAAAAATATATTTTATTTCTATACATTATTTCGTTTTATAAATTAACATATCTGATTATTAAATCAATCTGATTATTTTTATAATTTTTTTCAATTTTTATAACTTTGATCATAAATAAATAACTACGATAATTAATCATATCAAATAATACTAGCTATATCTTGCCGTTTTGCCTGCACGAATCAGTACATAAAGTACCCTTAGTGCTAAGTTATGATATAACCTACCAGTGTCCCAAATTTCATTAAAATTCATCCCAACATTTTTGTATGAAAGTCTAACTAATAAACATGCATCCATACATCCATCGTTTCAAACTTTCGCATTTATAATATTAATAGTTAAATAAAAAAGCTTATACGAAATTTAAATCAATAGACTACCTCCTATTATATTACTATTATAGTCAATAAACGTTTGCGTATCATTCGATTATACCGGGTTCCATGATTTAATTGCTGAAGCGACTATCCGCTTAATTTACGGTCGACGGAGTTTAATTAATGGTCAATACTAACATTACCAGAGGGAGACTGTACAAAAGTCGTTTGCTTGAACACCTCTGTCGCACTCGTGTTTCTACCGTGAAGCAGTTGTGTTTGCATAGCTGTGTTTAAGTTTGAAGGGTGGGATATGACAGTCAATTTACAGGGTACAGAGGAATAACACCTGAGTCCTCAGGAATGGGGGGTTTCATGGGCGAAACAGTATACTCTGTTATGCCCATGATACTGCTCATGTCTATAAGCGACGGTTACCATTTTCTATCAGGTGGGCCGTCAGCTTATTTGCCATTCTCAGTCGCATAAAAAAATGCATATATTTGTGTAGTGTAACATATGTTGTAGTTTATCAAGTACCATTATAATATAAATATACAATGAATACTCGATATAATTAATTTAATCTCTATAATTTGATTTACTGTAATTTATTGTCACAAAGCGTATTACTGTATGCTTTGTATTATAATTAATAATTACATACTTGTAATAATTAGCCTTTAATCACTTTTATTCAATGAAAATGGAATACTATTCAGTCTGCATTATTGGTTTCCGCTAGTGGGCTTCCGATAAAGGATTCCATGTAGGCAAAGGTAATATCGGACATTGGACATTAATGATGGGAAAAAAGGTCATCGCCCATTTCGATATCGTCCATACCAGTCGTATATATTCGTTAGATAGATAGATAGATATTCTTTATTGTTTCCTCCAAAGGATTACAATAGCAAACTCATTATAGATACAAACAAATTACAAGAAATAATCACAGTGAGAAAACAAATGGGTGACCTTATCACTAAAAGCGATTTCTTCCAGGCAACCTTTGGATGGAGAGAAGTAATTATAAATATTTGAAATTAAATTAATTAATTAAATTAAATGATTGATTCTATAACTTAATTGGTCTAGTTTTAGATTATATAGATAGAGTGTCTCCACACAAATGCCCCGTTCATAACCTTTATTTAATATATTGTTTACTAGGCTAATATTATTGCTCGTACATGTTGCTATAATCACCCACACTTAATGCTATGCGATACGCTATATTACGCTTGCCGTGTGGTCCCGTCATAGAATAGGCCACCCCTTCTTTTCCCGTGGGTGTCGTAAAAGGCGACTAAGGGAACTTAATGGTCGAGGGATGGGCAGCAGCGTCCCTCCATAATCAAAGCCTAACGGTATTCGCCAATCTGCTTACCAAGCGTAACATCTACTGGCAAAATGCCGCAAAAGGGGGAGGATTATGTTCAGCAGTGAACAGATAATGGCTGATATGATGATGATGAATGCTATGTAATGATGAAGTCAAGTTGGTCCATTGTGATTAATTCGCTAAGAATTATCCACGACAATTTCCAAAGAGAGATCAATCTCGCGGGAGTGTATTGCTAGCAATGGGGCCACCGTCAATACACCGTAACTAACTAGCATAATTATCCATTTAAACAACATTTATCTAGATTTATAACGGTTGTTTAATAGTGTTTATG